TCGAAAAACGACCTACGCTTTAAACACTATAATTTATATCTAAATTTAGTGCGCAACTCAGTCTGGCGCAATACATATGTATAGTAGATAGAAACAATCACCACTGCACGGCCCCGCTAGAACCAAAACGACAATTTACGACCTGCATCTCTCCATAGAACAAAGTAGTGCTGCAGCTACATCGACTGCGATCTTCGAACATGTAGAACGCATGCACGAATGCTTCGTATGGGATAAAGAAAAATGGAACACATTATTCGACTAGAAGTTCGATTAAATCTACTCCTAAAGACCCATAACAGGGAAACAGTATGTATTCCTTAAGCGATGTTATTTATTATACTCCATATTAGTTACCATAACTCGCTTTTTTTTTAGATTGAAACCAAATCTTTTTATACGTTTTTCTTTTTAGCATATAAACCTTTTTTCCGTTTTAAGGTGTAATTTACTCTTTAGACTTGCAACCGTGAATAAAACGGTCTAGCTTAATTCTTATGCGTAGATTAGATAATAATATAAGAGTCATATTAACGACATTAATATAATGCTTTACTTCACCGTCATTTTACAGTTCGTACAAATTAATTAGCCCCGTTCGCCTTGTACGAAGCCCCGATAGGGCGCGGCGGTAGCGACTTTGCCTAATAATCATAGAGGTACGTGAGACTGTTTAAATTCGGTTTCCGTAATGATGTTGTGGTAATACATTTAATTTCTAATCTCAGAAGTATATACTGGTCTAGGCCAGGCGTAGATAGGCTCTTTTGTTTTGTCCTGAAAGAGGCAGTCGTTTGAAACAGTACCAATGGGTGAATGCTGAAAGCAGTGCTGGACATGAAAACTTCGGGCGTTGAAATCCGAACACTGATACATTTCAACTCTCCATTAAGACAATTCGACTAATAGGAAAGTTTTGAATGTAGTAATTTCCTCTCGTACTCAATCCCCCACATTGTTTGCAAAGAGTTTTATCCTTCCTTGGTATACCTCTCCCTTTGATAGATCGCTGGAAGAATTGCAAGCATAGGCTCTAGGGCCCACCGTAGGAGTTATGAGTTAGGAAGTTACTTCGTCTCTATATTAGGCGCATACTGAAGCTGCAAAAAACAACTAGATAACACTGTATAACTGTCAAGCCATTTCCTTTTAGTAACGGTAAGTTGATTTTGAAGTAAGTATCATTCGACCTTTTTTTAGGCGGATATGTACATGAATTACCCAGACGCCAGACAACACGATAAGGTCTGTTCAACTAGAAAAATGATTTACGTGTTTTATGATCAAGCTCTCATGCGGTTTTTGTCGGTATGCTAAGCCTCTGACTATTCTAATCATGATTGATCGGATAACAGGTAACGACAACATTGATCGGATAAAAGTGCGGAGTAAGGTCACAGGTTCAAAACGGGTGAAAACAAGATAGAACAGGTGTTTCTTTACTATTTTTTTAAAAAAAAAAACGTTATACAAACTTGAATAGTACACTGGTCGCAAAGATTCATATATATTACGCGGCAAAAACCTGGCGCCGCACTGTTTCTAGTTATCTTTTAGCGTAGTAAAAAATAAATGCTCGGTTTTTTACTTCATAGGAGTTTTATATTTGCTTTTATCTAACACTATCTTCAGTAATGTCAGCCGTGACCATGAAGGCTATTGATCAGGACAATGCCATACGAGGAGTGCTGAACCTAATTTATCGTGAGCAACCGTTTTATGACAAATCATTGGCTGCGACCGCGAACTGATTATTGAGAAGTGCTATCTCGTCACTGCTTCGTCGTATTTAAGACTCTAATGTCAAAAAGAAAACTTGGCTTTGCTAGACAAACCACTCGTTAACTTGTTTCGAGACGCTGAACAAGCAGAGCTATGATAGTCATTACACTAAACTAGTTGCTTTTTTTCATTCCATATCTGCCCCAAGTATGACAAACGGCAAGACCGCAGAGAATGATCCATCCATACGTTTTTATTGGCATAATGTGGATAGTATAGAAATAATACTTGTAACCCGTGAAAATATATACTTTTACATTAAAACATTTTAATGATACTAATGCCAGCTTATGTGTATGTCTAGTTTCGCAGAATATTATGGTTTTTTCAATACTCTGTTATCTGTAATCATTCTTCCTACAGCTACCTTCAATAGAGGTTCCTACAGTTCAAATGTATATCAAGGTATATACAGAAAATTTTTATCTATTTTTTTGTTTTTTTTAAATATTTGTCGGGATATTATTTTAATTCCGCGTTTGAATGATTCTCCAGCTTTTTTCGCAAAAATAAAAAAGTCGTAAGAGTGGAATAAGTATATACTTAAAAAGATAAATGCGAAAACATCCATGGCTTAGAATAGAAAGGCTTACGGAATGAAGTGATTTAAAATCACTTTTTTATTAACAAAAAAAAAACAAGCTCGGTATCAATCAGCGTTATCATGTGGCCACAGATCAATACCGCCAATGAACCTACTGCGGTAATACGATGAACAAATTTTTGAAGTAGCAGCAGATACGCTGCGATTTCACCGAACAGAAATTCGCTTAAAATGTTTGCTCTTGTTAAGCCCTATCGTTTTCAAAATAATTTAAAAGATCCAATTTTGTAACAATTTCGTACATTGAAGACTTTATTTGGAAACGGTATCTTATTTGAAGGTTTCGGTTTGCTGTTACCGAGGTTACATTGCTAGTTCTGAAGACATAGTGTATGAAAAGATACATAATTTTAGTTATATTCATCTTCTTTCATGAAAAGTAGGACTATCAAAGGTTGAACTAGAATCAATAAGGCGGACAAAAGTGGTCAACTGGCTTAGACAGTGTTATTCAACAAGGCCACCATGATATACTGGGTTCACAATACAACCTGCCTAACTACCGTCGAAATCAACGTCATTCATAATGAAACATAGTATAACGTAGGGCTTGCTTCCGACAGAACTAATATTTTGATTTCGATGCCACTGTAGACGGATTTTAGTAGGTCTTTGCGAATCTCCTTCCCAAATCCCTGTGCTGTTCCCTATTTTTCCTTTTACTCTCCCATGCATACACGCACGAAGCGTCGCCAGTGCCCTTTGGGGTTGACAGAAGCTGCTCACAAACACACACCTACCCGCGTGAGCTGAGTAAAGTTTTCCTGCTTAGCTTTGTCTCCTTCGTTAAAGACCATCTGTTGTTGTGAACAGAGAACTGCCGCCTATCCCGTAGCCACGGGGTTCATCAGCGGTTCTTTTCGCTCGTTTTGTGCCAACATCTCGTTCTTTTGCATTTGACCGCATTTGTTCTGCCAAAAGCGAATTTGCCTGGCTGTTGAGGGCATCATATGCCCTCAGCCGCTCCTGGGTATGTGGAGAAAAATCGTTGCAAAGCCGTAAGTGCAAAGATAAAGGTGCTAAGTGCAGATGCCGCTATCTCCTGGCCCCTTTTATCTTAAGCTTCAATGGGAGCTAATGCGTATTATTTGGTCCGATGCGAGTTTCCGCGCATAGGTCGCTATTCCAAGGTTCGAGACAATGGCCGAAGTTTCGAGTCGTGTAGCGTCCCAGTGCTGGTCGGAAGGATCTCCTCATCTATATGGTAAGCGCGAACATTCCAGCTCGTAAATATGTAGATGTATATATATATATAGAGCATAGCATAATTCTGATTTACAGACTACCTTTTCTGGTGCGTCCCAGTCGCGGTGATATGCCATCGTACCCGCTTCGAAGGCAGGTAAACGCGGCCCATCATAGACGCCGATGGAGATAGGGTAGCAGAGTTAAGGCAATAGGGGGCATACAACGGGCCCGATTGAGACGAGATCCAGTGGACCTGCCAAAGCTGATATCATTCGCAACTATTTTATAATCCTAAGTTAGGCAAGTCTATTAATTGCGAACGTTATGAAATAATTAGAACCCATTATGATACGATCAAGATACATGAATCCAGGGGCTCTAATCTCTAACAGGACACTGATCTATGCATTGAGATAAGATCTTGATGCGCAACAAGGTTTGTGTTTCGCAAGGATAGTTTGCCAGGCTTGACTCACCGATGTATTCCTAATTCTGTATGATGTAATGGAAATTTAGCTGTACCCTTTGAGTTTCATGTTCACTATCGCCGTTAGGCATTACCTCAAACCTAAGCATACGACTGGTAAAATTTAAAAAAAAAAACAGGTTATACGTTGTACGAAATATTGTTAAAGAGTTTTTTCACCTTCATTATACCATCGACAACTCTAGAAATTACGCATCCGTACAGACGTCGCCTCCTTACATCTAAAACACGGACAGCAGCAGAGTATCAAATTTTAAATTCATTTATAATGTAATTCTATACACGAACATCAAATGGAAAGAAACAGACCACCGTAAGCAAACGACACTTGAAAAGACTTATATGTAAATAGCATAATGGTAAGAGCACTAGCATAAAATTGTAGGCATTCTTAATGGGAACCAAATCGCAATTAATTAAATGGCTCTACTTTAACAACTATTTGCGGCATTATACAGAGAAGCAAGCCTTACGTTAACTAATATCTAACTATGATATAAACTCACGGCCGACTTTGCCATTGGAAAATGTATACAGACCTGCCATCTGTAAAAAAACTCCTGTAAAACTACATGCCTTTTGATGGAGGTGGATGTCTTCAAAAACGAACGCTGTACAGCGCACACCCCCTATTGAGCGAACTGCTACCAGATATGCTGCAACAGTATTGGCAATTGCAGCTCATAGCATTACAACTTTCGAAGAGGTTTTGGCCTTTCTTTACGGATAACGTTTGTTTACCTCGCTTACTTCCATCTATCGCCCATTTTCTTTTCGATCTGTATACTTTCGATGGTTTCTTCAAGCGACTGTTGAGAACCACACCAACGTGTTTGTCAATAAAGCCTTGTCCCGAAGAAAGACTGATTGGAGATTTGAGTTAAACGGAGTTGCTTGATTCATTGCCCTGTTTTAACATGTTTTATCTATATAAAAAAACGTATGTGCAATATATATCTGCATGTGACCTCTCACTAAATAAATTCGTATGTGTTTTTTTAGTAATAATATCACAGTAATAATTTGCATCTTATAGATGTATATCACCCGTTATAGTAAAATACATATTTCAATGGTATCACAATAATTCGAAGTATCGATGACTAGGACGAGTTGAGCAGATGAATCCATATGCTTCTGAAGCTTAAAGCTTCAGGCTTATCACCTTATATTTTTGTTTTTTATCCAACCAATATTTTTTGCTGTCGATGCCTAATTAAGCATGGCGGTGGCGACAGCAATCGGTTGTTGGTACATGGAAGCGTATGCAGCGGCCTGCGCGGCCGCGCGGAAATGCATAGCTCGGTCAGACAACTCTTCCATTATCTAAAACAACGAAATGAACGAACATTTTGAATTAGAATCAGTATTATCATTATTCTTAATTTTAGTATAGGTTTGGTTAGAAAAAATATTTCCTATTATTCAAATATTATCTGTATAAACTTTTGATCTACGCAGCAATTTATGAATTAAAGTAGTCTATTTATCATGAATTTCAGAAAAATGAATTCGCAGAAGCAGAAGGTTACCTCAACTGAGTGCCTGACATGCCTGCAGAAATCATATCTGTCGAGGTGTTTTAGCTTCATGAAATTGTGATTGGCGGCATCTTTTGGTGTAATGCGAGTATCCGGATCAAGAGACAGCATTCGTTCGACCAAATCAGTGAACTGGCGTCGATCTGCTTTTTCCGCCAATGCTTCTGTATTGTCTAGTTCTAGATTCATTGGCGGATTCACCTAAACAACAAACAACGGAAAAGAATTGCCTAAAATTAAACACATGCAAGAGCGATTCTTCAAGGTTTTCAAGGTAAAAATTATTTTGAACAAAAGATATATCGACAGCCTAGGCCCAAACTGTGTACTCGACAAGTTGACTATTCGCATAAGGAATCATCAAGAGAAATCTAACTAACAACCAATTGAACTCCTTCTCATTGCATTATTCATACCTTTGCTAGGTCTCTCAGGGAATCGAAGATATATATTCTGTTCTCGCATGAACGAATTCGTGTTTCAGCCTCAAACTCGTGTCGGCTTTTGAGCCTCCAGAAATGAGATTTCAGCAAAGGCGTTCTTACTGGGACAAAGAACTGCCTTGTACGGGCACCCGAATTCAGTACATTTGAGGCTGGGAGACCCTGAGTTTCTACAATGTACCTGCAAACGATTAATTCGCAGAAGCAATCTTATTAGTCTCTAGAGTACCTTTACGCTTTCAATAATTCCGAATATGCAGTTCGCTTGCTTGGTCCCCGCTTGCTTGATTTGCCCTAAACATAAATATCAAAATAAAACTAGACAAGCTTCTCCGATACTACCATTATGCACTGCTCATATGCCCTAAAGATTCACAGGTAACGTAACACGTTACAACTACACCATCACAAGTATCTACAGCCGGGTCCATATATAGATGTAGAAAAATACTAACCTGATTTGGTCGTATTCCGATCTCCCAGGGTACAGCGGCCATCCGAGAAAGAGTTCGGCCATGAGGCAGCCCAAACTCCACATATCAATTGCTTCATTGAACGGAAAGCCTAAAAGTACCTCCGGGGCACGATAGAACCTGTAAAAGCCATTGTATTTGATTAAGCAACTATCTTCTTAGCTTATTGATTTGGCTCGGCATAAAAATCTCATCTGGCTATTTTTTAAACTTATTGATTTAAAGCTACGCGAGGAAAGAAACACATAACATCTATAACACCTATTATGTGTTATTAATTAATAAGCAGCCCACTCTCAACGATGTATTTGTGTGGTACCACACGATGCTCACCTCGGTTGACTAGAGTCAAAGGCAGTCGTGATTATATAATATGCATTGTATATGCTTCCAGTTTGTTCTTGATTATCATATAAATTTTTATTGCATAATAACAGGGAATATAAACTATAACCTTAGGTAATGCTATGGGATGATCGGCGTAAATTCTTCCCAACAAAAGTTACGGAGTTTCCAACATAAAACATAATCGAAAAAGTTATCGTTGCGCAAATATCAATGGTTTGATTATGCTGTTGATATATTATTAGCTAAATGCTTACGAATTATTTGTCGCTAGTGGATTCAGGACGTGAAATCAAAGTACTTCGGTTTAACCTCAACTAAGTTATTCAACTCTTAAATCTACATGACTTACCTCGACTGAACACACGAGTCGATAGCCGCCTCACTTACGCTTATTGACAAACCAAAATCGATCACCTAAAAACATATTCGCAAGCAATAACGGAAATATTAGTAACATTTTATTTTTATTGCAGTTGGGCTTTGGTGAGGTACATGATTTAAAATTAGTTGGATTTGAATATAGTTAAACTAGCGGTTTTACAAACATATATTTGCCGACAACGTTATTAGACATTAGACATTTCTTACCTTGATCCGGAAAGGCTGACGTATTGGATCGACAAGCATAATGTTCGCCGGCTTTAAGTCGGCATGTATCAGCCCAAGCGTCTTTAGCTTGTCTAGTGCTGTTAACAGCTGCTGTACGATAGGGCGAATATGCTTCAGTGGTAAACAATGGGATTCTCTCTCCACGACATAGTCGAAGAGACTTTGTCGAAGCATTTCAAAAACAATGCATTTGTGCTGCTTGTGTTCGAAAAACTCAAAGGCTTGCACAAAATTGTATGCAGGGTTTTCAACCGACAATTGCTGAATTATTGATACTTCGTTGTCGCGTTTTTTTGAATTTCGCGGATCATTTTCGAGTACTTTTATTGCGACATTTCTGGTTGTCCCCTTCTGTTGGCATCTTACAACTTGGCCATAGGTGCCCTTGCCAAGGAATTCAAGGACTTCGTATTGGTTTCCGGTCGCTGATGTCAGCACTTCATTCTTAACCAACTCATAGTCGGTTTCAGAAATCGAAGAGGACAATACGACCTGAAAAAGCAAAGATAAAGTCGAACACTATAATATTGAAAATTTGCGTAAATTAGTACTGCTTTTATTAACATTTCAGTTAAGGAAAAAATATTTAATTTTTTATATGTCGGAGTTCAAGAGTAGTAGTAGTACGAAATGGAACACCGATTCACTCTGTAAGGAACTCATTCCAGGAAGTATGGTTACAGTAACAACCAGCGGCATAATGAAAGGAAGAAACTGAAATGGCAGAACTAGCACAAGTATCTCAGAGAAAGGTGAACGGGAAATTTATAAAATTCTTAGTTTGTAATGAGAAGTTAATTCAAATTGAACGCGATATTTTCGATGATACATGCAACGAGGAAGAAGGACCCTTGAAACAGTCAATACAAAAACTGTATAAGTTAAACAATCTGTTTACAAGGTGATAAATTCCTGCACTTTCCGCGGTTGTCTTCCATTTTTTTTAACGAATTAATCAGTTTGTCTAGCCAGAGATTTTCGGGTCTGTTGTCGACAAGGTTCCACAGGCAGTCTTTGGGGCCCGCTATATTTTCAGATGTACTGTTACGGATTTCATCTGCCCGTGATAGTAAAAAGTGGCAATCCGTCAACCCAAAGCCCGATTTTTGCAGAATAGTCTTAACAACCTTCATCATGTACTGCCAGGCCTTACTGTTAGGATAAAGAAAACTAATATCACTCACCAGCTTTTCGAAGGACCACTTCAGTCAATCATTTTTGGCTATTTTATACATCGAACTGGATCTGCAATGCTGATTGGTGATACTGTAAAGACGCCGTTTTCAATAGCACTGAGTAACAAAAAACGCTTCTTTCATTGTAAGTCTTGCATTTTATAGGCTTGCCGTTTAACCCAAGACGATCAAAAGCACGCAAAATTGAAAGCTGTCATAAACAGAACAAATAATAAAATCAATGAATCTTTCACAGTATACTTAAAACAAAAAGATACAGAAACAACCATTTTCACCGCAATAAACACTAGCGGAACGGAGTTGGCACTGACACGGGGGTCTTGGAACCAAAATATCTTCGGTAATAATCTGGTTGGGAACATATAACCTGATGTGGTATTGTAATTGTTGTTGCATGATCAGGGTATACAAAAGATTTATCGAGTCCTATGAGGACAAAATAGCTGATATCGGCTTACAGTTTTTCGAGAGCAAACAATGCTATTTCCTCGCTCACCTGCAGTTTTTGATTTGTTAGCTAAAAATACTATTCATATTGGAAATTTTATAGTTTTTGAAAAATTATGCGTTCGCAAAATAACTCATGACTTCGAGCTTTTGGTGGTATTACTCGTCATTCGGAATTTCACAGGAACTATCTGCCGCATTTTACGGTCTGCTATCAGTGAAAAAAACTAATGGAACATTACTGAAACCACTTATTGAGTTGTTTTCCGTTATAGTAGTTATTGTTTAATGGCGATCTTTTCGATGAAAATTAGTATTGTTTGCTTTTAAACTAATCATCGTCAAATATTTTTATGGGAGTATTACGCCTAAATAATGTGCGTCTACGGTGCAATACAGTAATCTTCATTAAATATGTCTTCTTTCATTTCTTCTGTATAGACATATGACTTGTTGTATAGACATATGTATAGACATATGTTGGCTATCCAGTGTATTGTACATTACGTTGATCTAATACTCACCACTTACGAACTTGCACTTCAGATAACACATTATAAAATCCTAGATTTGAAGTCACTATTAAGCCATATTTCTCTTTCCCGTCTCTTTCCCAACTATTAAAAAACCGCTACTCAGAACTGATACAAATTCTACTGCTTTCATCGATACTAATGCTAATATTTTGAGCTATAAGTCTACTGGCTTATTGTAAGTGAAACACATTTTTTGTATAACGCAAAGTTTGTTTCTGTCGATTAGGGATACGGTCAGCCTAAGAATACTCCTTATAACATGTGTTTTCGATTAATGACCATCTCCTACATATTAAACAACAAAGTATACACGCAGGCGTGTGCTGTATGCACGGTACAATCTACTATTTTACAATGTCAACATCGCTGGACCATTAAACAATCTTTTGCTCAACTTCTGCTCTCAAAGGCAAATAAATTTTAAAGGGCTCGGCTCATAAATTAAGTGGCATTATTTCATGAACTTCAACTCCATTTATGGAGAAAGGTATATATATATATATATATATATATATATATATATATATATATATATAATATTACTAGAAGAACACTAGTCCAGTGAAGTAAAATTAACTTAGTTTTTATTAAGTTCCAAAACTGTTAAGATTGCTGAACAGATTGCTGTGGAGGCATGAGACCCAACCCGGCAATATGCCAGGCCTCACACAGGTCCAGAACAAATTGGTCGACCATTGCTTTGTCGTGAAAAGGTGTCGGCGCTAGACGTAGTCGTTCCTCGCCGCGGGAAACTGTCGGATAATTAATTGCCTAGAATTATCATACCATTATCAAAAGAGAATACATGAACAAAGATTATTATAGGCCTAAGTGAGACAAAAATGTTAAAATATTTAGAGACAAGTATTCTGTTAGAAAATTTAAACAAATTCCCTACATTGACGTACTGTCCAGTGGGATTCATTGGTCATATTACGCCGATTCAACTATCTTTAATCTTTTGTTTTACTTTTTGTAATGAAATCGCCCCGATGCGTTTTCGATAAAAATAATTGTGCGATACTGAAACCTCGACTGCGATTGCCTCGATTTGTGATCTTTTTGGCAAAAGATTGCAAAATAAATTTTGTAGGTACTTTGAAAGCGATAAATGCTTAAAATATTAAAAGTGGACATACAGCCAACGAGTAGCAGTGATATCTATTATTACGTATATTTCAACATTAAAATACAAAACTAATGTTTCGTCTTAAACGGTACCTGCACATAATGTCCAAACCGCATGAGTTCGTTGCTGACTCGTGTGCACGCTGCCGGATCTCCTACGTGTACCGGAATGATATGCGACTTCGAGTTGAAAACAGGCAAGCCAACAGCTCTAAGTCGTTCCCGGGTATATCCGACCACTTGTTGATGGCGGCGTCGCAGTAATCGTCCCTCATCCTCACCCAGGATTTCAATCGAGGCCCGAGCACCACAAAGAACTGTTGGTGGTAGCGATGTTGTGAAAATGAAACCTGCGCCGTACGATCGTATGAAGTCGACGAAATTTGAGGTCGACGCTATATAGCCACCGATGTTACCGAAAGCCTTTCCTAGGGTTCCCGAAATGACATCCATCTTAGCGAGGATTCCGCGCTGTTCACCTACGCCCGCGCCATGGTCACCATACAGTCCAACGGCATGTACCTCATCAATAAACGTCATGGCTCCATGTTTATGAGCCAAGTCGCAAATCTCCTCCATCGGTGAAATATCACCAGTCATCGAATGCACGCTCTCGAACGCAACAATCTTCGGTACCCACTTCGGTACTTGACTGAGCAGTTCGGCCAAGTGGGCAACGTCATTATGGCGAAATATATGTTTTGGCGCTCCACAGTTTTTAATGCCTTGAATCATGGAGGCATGATTTCCAGCATCGGAAAAGATGTGCATACCCGGAACGAGTTTTCCTAGGGTAAATAAAGTTGTATCGTTCGCCACAAAGCACGAAGTGAATAATAAAGCGGCCTGCTTTTGATGTAGTTTAGCCAGATCCTTTTCGAGATTCTCATGCATCAACGAATTGCCGGAGATGTTTCGAGTGCCACCAGCCCCCGCTCCATGTTTTTCGAGTGCCTCCTGTACAGCCGCCTTAACTTTTGGGTGTCGTGACATGCCCAGGTAGTCGTTGGAACACCATACCGTGATTGGTTTTGAGCTGTCAGCCATTTCTGTGTGCTCAGTTGCCTTGGGAAACTGCTTAGCCAATCGGTTGACCTTTTTGAAAACGCGATAGGAATGGTCCATTTTCTTCTTAGCGATCATCGACTGGAAGTGACTTTCATAGTTGAAGTCAAGCTTATCGGTAGCGATATCAACATCTAGCACAGGTTTCTCGGCGAATTCAACGGCATCAGGGCATGAAACAGACTTAATCGCCGTTTTATTAGCTGCCAAAAACGGGCATCGGTTGCAGCGATTCACCTCATCCACAGGACAGGTGAACGGCTCCGACTGCTTCAGGCTTTCCACACTGGCCTGTTGGCTGCAAGCTGTTGCGATACTGACCGATCGCGCTAGGTACGGACATTGCCGCTGATACATGCTAATGAGGGGTGATGCATACTTCTTAACGTAGGCTGTGGTTAAACGGCTAACGAATGGGCACGGCATAATGGTATAGAGCGTTAGATTGATTTTGCCTACACAATTTTTCCTGTGAAGAAATGTTAAGAACGGAAACCATTTCAGCATGTTAATTTTCTCGACTTCTGAGGAAAAAATCTATCAAAAGCAAACGTCTAAACGCTTATAGACTATATATACGTGTTTTATCAAATTATCGTCTTTATGCATGTTTTCTGGGCTATATATACTTAGATTTCAGATGTGCATACATTTAAAAACTTACCAGAGTATACTTACCAGCTCAAGTTATTAATTCAAGGGTAATAATACATACGGTTGTAATATAACTAAGTTAGTGCGCTTCTCTCCACATTGCTCCCATGCTTATCATTCAAGCGAATGCGAAAATTATTTTCTGCATAATTGTCTGCGCGCTTATCTTGCAGTTGCGAAAGCAAATTCCTACCGCTTACTAGTTGAAACGCTTTTTCTACACGAGTTAGTACTGGCACTAAATTACCTATACAGGTAACACAGAAAATGCCGACGGGCCCGTAGATACCAATCGAGCTGCCTACGGCAAACGTGGTGTCTTAGATAAACTTTTGTCCAACAACCGGCCAAAGGCTGCCAATGAGACGAGCGCCGAACTTTCGAGAAAACAAATCGGGTTAATGTTGCTTTGCTCGATTTCATAGAATACAATGAAAGATAACGTGAGAAATGGGCGTACAAAAATTGATGACCTAAGCTTATAATAAACAATTTGCTACACCTTGATCTCCATTTGATACGTTGAAGATATTAAGCGACTGTTTCCAATAAAGCATGTTAGGTAGATGTGAATAATGGAATTATCTCGGATACAAAAAAAATGGCAATAAACTATTTTATCCAGAGAAGCGCTAGAAGTAAATATTGCTCAAGTACATATAATTGGACATAAAGAGACCGACTGACTGAAGGTGATATCATTACACGAATAGAACAGATCAAAATTAGTTGCAAGGAGATTTGCTTGAAGACTGCCTGTTGTGCGTATGAAATTTTCTACCACCAAATCTTCATCAGGCTCACCTAGACAACGACAGCGGTGAAAACCCTTATGCTTTCTAAAATTTCATGCGATTAACGTTCTACCTAACATGCCTTATTAGAAACACTCCGTAACACCATAAACTTATGTATTAACGCTTGCGATCACAACAGCGCTGCATTGAATTAATATAAGCCTATCCTACCGTCTTAATATATTTACCTTAATAGTAAATAACACCCAAGGCACCAAATACAACGTCACACCACTAAAAATCACACATACACACAAGCATTCAAATCTACACGACAGAATTAAATAAGCGCCTTTAACGCTTACACAAGCCTAAACGACATTTTATCCCAAAAGAAATTTAAGACATCAGCTACCACGATCAACTATGAAAACAGCAGCACAAGGCTGGGTGTTACTGCCAGATCAGTAGCGGAAGATCCAATAAAATCAACAGAAAAACACGCAGGCTAGGCACCGTCTGCCTGATGTGTATTTCTGTAGCTGTTGCAGCCAGCTGTTCCGATCTGCCTACCTTGACGGACACGTATAAAGTAAATGATCAACCAGCACCCGCGAAATCATTTGCCGGTACTTGTTCGTAATCGAGAACTGCAGCGGGGCTGAGCGGCAGCGGCGGCGTCCGCGCAGAAGAGTTGTTTCTCGCCGTCAATCATCGCGACTGGGCGACACTCGCTGTTTGGCGAGAGTCAATGGCTGCTCGCCAACCAACAAGAAAGACGTAAAGCGTCACCGAGTAACAGCAGCTGTAACGGAGCGAAACAGCGCTTCAAGAAGTGCCGCGGCAAGGGCGAACTTCTACGGTTCAGCAACTGCTATTAACGCTGCTGTAACTTTTGCAGAAGCAACAGTAGCAGAAGTGGGGAAGTTGTCGATGTACAATGGTATGGAGTCGGATTGTTGCAGCGAAATGGCCGTTACTCGCTTGCTTTTTTAATTCGTTGTTACATACGTTCGCCGCTTATTTGCCTGATGCTGAAAAAATTCGACTAAGTACTACGGAGCAGATCCGTAACTCTGTCTGTTCCGTATCACCACAGATGAGAGCAATAAACGCTGGCCAGACGTCAAATTAGCCCCGCTATTTGTTGGCTTGTTCGGGGGTAAGGATAGGAAAGATTGCTCGTAAGAGAAGTTGCACTATTGTGACGGCATAGCAGAACGCCAGCCATGACAGTAGTAGGCCGATACAAAGTAATTGAGTGAGTTAAATGCGGCGTAGACAAACACAAGAGAATATACGGGCAAACGCCATGATGACGCTATAAGACGCAACATACGGATGCACTGACGGAAGGCGTCAGGGCATGATCTACCTTTGACATGATTTACATGGGTGGACATCCCTGACGCCAAAAGTGTTTGTCAAAAATCAAGTCTAGAAAAACTATTATCATTGATTGAAAGACGGATAGCATTAAATATGGAATTGGTCTCAGTAACGCTGACTTCGTTTAGCTTATACTCTGGTGTATTTTACATAAATTGATAATATATAGATGCAGGTTAATTCGAACCTCTACTTTCTGAGACAAATCTCAGTTTGCTTCTGGCCACAAAACGCGTATCTTGTTGATAAATAGTGCTACTTCTTAAAATACATGATTTTCTCTTCTCTATACCCTTCTCCCAGACTGGTCTGACTCATCGAAACGAGAAATATATTACAAATCAGGCTTTTAGTAACTAATATCATTAAATAAACTGACATAATTTAACTCCTTGCAATAGCAAAAATCTGACTTTAGATGGAATTAATGCCCGACAATAAAGATCAAGATTCAATAAAGATGGCAGAATACAAGAGTAAGCAATAACTAAGCCAGCATAATACGACACGTAAAGCATATTATCTAAAAGCTTTTTGTTATCGTCAAAGACTTTTTATCGGCTTTTTTTTATTTTAACATTTATCGGCTAATCAATGAACTCTTGCAGAATTCAAAGAAAATTACAATGGCAGTTCATAGAAACTGGGGTCGTCATTAAACCATAACAACCGAAACACCGCAAAACACATCGGAACGTACAGAGATAAATAACATCGACCCCATAAATATAATTTCCTATGTTCTTTTAAACACGCGTGATTAGTATTAGTCACGCTAAAAGACTACGGCTGTAGGTTCTTAGGACCACTTGCTAGCTTGTGTCAGGGCTTTGACCAGCTGCATGAGTGGATCATTGAACCCGGACCGTTTTGTCAACTATATGGACACCTGAGACAATGTATTTCCTTGTATTTATGCCAAGAAGAGAATTTTCGATGTTCGCTTTAACCATATGGGATGGATATCCAGTATGTGTTCTCTATATGAACACATGTCTGAAACAACATCTCTAACTGGAGTACTGTGCTTTTCAATATGATGAAAATCATAGGAAACTAGATTATCTGAGCTGACAAAGCCGGCACTCAATGATTTGAAAAACATTCAATCGTTTCTCAAATAGTAATGAATCGCGCACCAAATAAGGTGTTCATATGTGGCGTAACCATAACTCCTACTGGACGCTTTTGGCAAACCATACATTGCTCTTAAGCAACTATCGTAGGAATAATAATCGATATATTTTCATGTGTCGATGAGACTGGCCGTTCGATCAAGACCGCGCTCATCTAATTCGTTATCTCCACTAACGAACATCTAAATTTACTCACCTCTCTCACTGAGTACCAAGCGGATGTTCGCCCTTTTTTGAGACGGCGGGCGTACACCATAAAATTACACACACACACACACAGATACATCCACAAACACTGCACGGATAGCGCCTACTGTTAGCGCGACTGCGTTGCAGATGGCACAAGAGGTGTTCCATGATTCGACTGCTAGGGCAAAGCAAACAAACACAGCGCTGCGGACGCGAGCCTCTATCCGTCTGCTATGAGTTGTTAGCGGGTCAACATGATTATTTAAGCTAGGAGCTACAAACAAAATTTCTTGTTACGAACCCACTAAATCTTCAATACATATCTGTTCAAGGTGTCCTTCTTCCCGTAATGGTGATATAATTCCACTGGTTAACTCAGTTGTGAGATAGTTGTAGTATAAAATTATGAGTAGATGCATTTGCATTCCTGTTAGAGTGCATAATTAGACTACATAGAGGGTAAACATGCAATTATCTCATTCCGATCATGCAAAGTATAGACAAATCTTTAGGATTGTCATGCCATTCAAATGCTCATGCTGTTAAGCACGAAATAGAAAATATCAAATAAAAAAATTTGGATAACCATTCACAGCACGGTTTTTATATTTATATTTTTATACTTACCTTTTCCATCAACATGATGCCGTTTTTGATTGTGCCAAGCCTGGGTGAATTTACCGTAGCGAGTGAGGCAAATCTAATAATTCTTATTTCCTGCAACAACATACATAAAAATAAGAAAAATTAGTCATCAAAGAACAAGGGACCTAACCAGAGATAAAATTTCATCTCTAATGTACATAAAGCTACTTCGAATGAACCATTTTCTTGCTAAGCCTTACATCGGACGCGCTGAAGGGCAGTTGCCGTCCTAGACACTTCGATTGGACCAATTGGATTGAACTAAGGAAGTTTGTTTTCAGTATGCTGAGACGAGTCGCAATTGGAATATCTTGTATATTTAAAGCAAACATATTACTGAAGTGGTTGCGTTCAGCATTTCTTTTATAATAAAAAAAATCATAGAAAGTCAAATAAATCAGTATGTTTCCTACGGTTTCTTTTTCAACTTCTAATCTGTTTGTTGGTTTCTTCCTGTACACATGGCCTTTGACTTCTGCCGAGTTCACTCCGGATATTGATGCGAATGTCAATAATCATAAACAAAAATAAAATGTATTTATATTCTCTTAAGCTTAGAGCAAGAACAGCATATTTCCACAGACATTTCATAAAACAAGGTGTTAAATTAATTATTGTCATCATTTCCGTCTAATTTAGTTAAGGAGTTAACAAAGCCCTACACCGATATTCGTGTACCTGATATGTCTTTGGTAAGTAGATGGCAATAGCAAGCATAATCGCTAGCAAAAGGAAATCAAGTAAGCATGAAGCGAATTATATATGGTGCTAATTAACGCCCAACGCAGAACATAACATATGTTATCCCGTTATTATTCTACGAAATTTGTGAACTCATTAAGTACGCTGAGCCGAACTGTTCGATGCCCAGCATATAGAAACGATTAACAAGCAAATTTCACTCTCTCGAGTCATGCTATAGCAGTATGAGCAGCGCACTATTGTAGGAGACTGGGAATCAAAGAAAGCTATATTATCCTAATACCTAAGGCAGTGCGTTTGCCAACCAAACTCGTTACGTAAAACGTGGCTTGAATTATAGTGATAACCGATAGATGTAAATAGGGTTCATTATTATTATTAATTATCATAGTATTACTACAGATGAGGATCGATTTTGCATTACACAGAAAAACAAGCTTTAGATTTATTACTGCCTAAACCTTATGTCACTCCAGCTGACTTATAACTCGTTATATTAGAGATAAGGCGAGAGTGTAATAAATTTATAATTAAAATTCGTTACACAAACTGATTAAGTTTTAAGAAGAGCGTAACACCAAGAGTTAATTGATTCATAAGATTAAAAAACTTGTTTAAAGGTAATTTCTTTTGTGAGAGAACCTTCTATCTAAATAAAGAAATAAGCTCTTCCATTCTCCATTATCATTTCGCGATATGCGTTTGATTTTATTTCTGCCCTTTATCTTCTATTATATATACCTTTTGCTTTGTCTAAACTCAATAACATTTGCTGTCTCTTAATTGTTGTTTGTTTGACCCTTTTATAATATTAGGCCAATAAAACACACAGCAGTATGTATTTTGGTTTTGTTGAAGAAACAAACAGTGTTTAAATAAATTAATTCACTTCACAATCAATGATCGTTATCGCAGTCGTTACTATTTAGCGCGTAAGCTTATTATTCGGCTTATTTTCTTTTTGTCTCTAATATGAATTAATTTTGCTTTTATCAGTGTTGTACTTATTAGTTAATTATCCTCAGGACACCGATAATGAGTTGTAACCTCTGTTTTCTCGAGGGACAAAGCAAGCGCCATGTAATGCCATTAACCAGAAACAACGTAATATGATAAATAAAAAGCTTTCGTTTATCTTTTGTTATTATGTATATAGTATTAAGTAGGAATGGAACATCGAGAGCTTAGTAGCCAACGGGTTGGATCTCGCCGTGTCAGGGCCATTATGTACATAGTACACCGAAAAAGCCGTCTGCCGCCATATATGCGTATTAATTAAAGGCTCGGCAGGTGAAGGATCGAAAGGTCTTGCTTTATAAACAGCATAGACATATCTTCTGTTTAGTCTACTTCTTCGACTGTGGGTCCTTGACCAGCAGTACCTCCACCGGCCGCTCCGGCACCAGGAGCGGCACCGTGCATCTTCATCATAATAGGCTTTGCGGCCTGTTCCAATTCCTTGCGACGATCATCATATTCTTCCGCCTCAGCCAGCTGATTAGCGTCAAGCCAGTTAATAGTGTCGTTGATCTTGTCGAGAATGAGCTTCTTGTCAGAATCGGGTAGTTTCTCCGATCCCGGACCTTCGAGGGCGGATTTGATACCGAAGCAGTAACTTTCAAGAGCGTTTTTCGCTGCAATACGACCTTTTTGTTTGTCATCCTCATCCTTATATTTTTCAGCATCCTGTACCATGCGCTCGATATCCTCTTTGGATAGTCGGCCCTTGTCATTTGTTATGGTAATTTTGTTTTGTTTGCCGGTAGACTTGTCCACGGCCGAGACGTTAAGAATACCGTTCGCATCAATGTCAAAGGTTACTTCGATCTGAGGGACTCCACGAGGAGCGGGTGGGATACCGCTTAAGTCAAACTTTCCGAGCAGATTATTGTCTTTTGTCATTGCACGTTCACCCTCGTAGACCTGGATGGTGACGGCGGGCTGATTGTCCGAATATGTGGTGAACGTCTGGGTCTGCCGCGTCGGGATGGTGGTATTTCGTTTAATCAATGCCGTCATGACTCCGCCAGCTGTCTCCAAGCCGAGAGAAAGTGGAGCAACATCCAGCAACAGGAGGTCCTGAACGGCTTGTGAAGTATCACCAGTCAAAATGGCGGCCTGCACCGCTGCTCCGTAGGCAACAGCCTCGTCAGGATTGATGGACTTATTTAACTCTTTGCCGTTGAAAAAATCCTGAAGCAGTTTCTGAATTCGAGGAATTCGGGTTGAGCCGCCAACAAGAACGATGTCATTTACCGTCGCTTTGTCCATTTTTGCGTCTCGGAGAGCCTTCTCCACGGGCTCCAGCGTTGAACGGAACAGATCCGAACACAGCTCCTCGAAGCGGGCTCTAGTAATCGATGAGTAGAAGTCGATACCCTCAAATAATGAGTCGATCTCAATCGACGCCTGCGTCGAAGAGGATAGCGTCCTCTTCGCGCGCTCGCACGCTGTACGAAGCCGGCGCAATGCGCGTTTGTTTGATGACAAGTCCTTCTTGTGTTTTCGTTTAAACTCCTCGACAAAGTGATTGACCATCCGATTGTCGAAGTCCTCACCGCCAAGATGGGTGTCCCCAGCGGTGGACTTGACTTCAAACACTCCGTCGTCAATTGACAAGATTGACACATCAAAAGTACCACCGCCCAAATCAAAAATCAGCACATTTCGCTCTCCTTTAGCACCTGAACCCTTTTTGTCTAGGCCGTAGGCAATGGCAGCGGCCGTAGGCTCATTGATGATTCGCAAAACGTTCAGGCCAGCGATGACACCAGCGTCCTTGGTAGCCTGCCGCTGAGAGTCATTAAAGTAGGCCGGCACCGTGATCACTGCATCCCGCACGGTTCCGCCCAAGTAGGCCTCAGCAGTTTCTTTCATTTTTACAAGCACCATCGAAGAGATCTCCTCAGGAAAGAACGCCTTCGTCTCACCTTTAAACTCCACTCGGATTTTTGGTCGGCCATTCTCATTCACGACTTGGAATGACCAATGTTTCATGTCGCTCTGAACGGCCTGATCATCGAAGCGACGTCCGATCAAACGCTTCGCATCGAATACCGTGTTGGTCGGGTTCATGGCCACCTGGTTTTTGGCAGCATCGCCAATTAGACGTTCGGTATCAGTGAACGCAACATATGAAGGCGTTGTACGATTACCCTGATCATTAGCAATTATTTCCACTTTACCATGTCGAAATACTCCTACACATGAATAGGTCGTACCCAAATCAATACCAATTGCTGGAGCTTTCGGCATGTTGGTACGTGGTCGTAGGCCTAACTTGTGACACCAACGGAACTACGCAGCAAACAGCTAACAACCACAATCTGTTCCTATTGGAACACCACCACTAGCAACAGAAACGGGAAGGAACTAAACCTCCCGCCGGGCCACGAATGCCGTAGCACCTTTTCAAACCTTCGTCTCAACAAGCGAAGAGAAAATCGCACAGATTTTCTCGTGCTAATTCACAATCGCTGAAAATCTTCGGTGCTCGTTTGCCGTCGTCCTCTCTAACAAACGCTATCTGCACCCTTCGCCGTTACAGGACTCCACTAATTCAGTGTCCACTCAGCCACAAAGTCGCCTTAGACTCAATTTTTAGCTCTCAGTAGCACACGCAATTCATGGTGCCGTACCCAAAAGCCTCTACGTCTTCAGCCGTGTATATGTTCAATGGCCACGGTGCACCGAGTTATATAGCGACTGTGGCGCTATCTGGTGACTACTCGAACAGTCCGGAAGGAATGGAAACAGCGAGAATGTTCCTTTGCACCGTAAGAATGACACATACGTTCGTTTGTTCACATAGGGTTAGTGCGGGAGGATGGCTGAGTAAACGACTCGTTCACTGACCAATCAGTGATTAACCAGCATCGAATGATTATTGTGACGAGTATTATGACGATGTTTACGTTCGTGGTGATATTATTCCCTCCTTGGCTGGCATCGCAGTTGTGACAATGGGGCAGAGGCTGTCCTTGCAGTGATAGTGACGGGTACTGGCAACACAACCCGCTGCTGCGGTTGGCGGCACTGTGCTATGCATGTAATCATAAGCAATCCATACACTAGGGCACTACAAGGATGTCTTTGATTGTTCCTTTGGCTTATCCACATATATTCTACGCAGTATATAGTATTTAGGATGAAGTAAGAGTCCTTTGATACATATGTGTATACTCAAAAGAAACTTTTTTGAGGACTGCGAGAGGAAGACAGCAAATATTGTTCCAGCAAGTTCCGTCCATTTAATTCTGAATGACGGCAGCGCCTATTGCTACTTCTGATGCTCTTGCTGATATCTTGTAGGACCACAGTGTAGCTATGAGCTTATGGCTGACGGGCACTATTGCTGGTGTGACTGCTGCACTGAGGGCTTTTACAGGCAAAGCCTGAGCGCTGGGCCTTGCCGATGACAACTTGACGGACAGTAACGGCTGCCGGACGGCCGATCCTATCTGGCTTGTATCGATGGAACATAAAGAGCAGCTATGTTGTCATTCGTACATCGTACGTCATCCTGGGTAAGCCTACTTATATTTATGCAGCAAACGAGCTTTTTCTAAGCTATAGCCAACAAAGATCGCCGAAGAACCGCGCACCAGCCACAGGTTGCCGCTAAGTCATGATTAACTTTTCCCCAATGGTCACCATAACTTACGGATAATTATATATAATTATCCGTGTATATATATATATATATATATATATATATATATATTTTTTTTTTCTTTTGTACTCATTAGTAGATTCAGTCGAATTACACGGATTTATATTCATTTTGTGTGTTGGCGGTTGCGGTATGCATAGCGGCTGTAGCGTAACTAGCGGCGGAACGCAAGAAACGAGTCGCGTAGTGACAATGCCGTGTTGTGCCTGCGTCTACGGCCTGGGTATTACTATAGCAAACCTCGGCTGAGCTAGGCCAAAATGGCCTGAATGCGGCGAAAGCTAGGCCAGCAGCATTAACAACAGTCTCGGCTAATGCAGACTTTGCTATATTATCTGAAGTATGTTATATCTGCTAATGGTAGAGCACCACAAGGCAAGCACACAGCAGAGTCAATAGGAATGAGCTATTTGATTCGGGTGGGTCTGACCTCAACCCCGATTTTGAACGATTCTGCCCGCGCGGCTGCTGCTGCCACGGCTTGGGACGATATTGCTGATTCCAGACGGTTCAGTCAACGTTCGACGACCAACCCGCAGGGTGATGGTGACGCCAAATTCGGTAGGACAGCCATTGCTGTCGTTGCCGCTTCTGTTTAAAAGCCACACCACGCGCTTGTATGCGATTTTTCTGGGTGTTTGTGTTCACACTGCCTTTCCCTATGGTCTGGTGTTGTTTGACGCTAGGTCATTTTGCTGCGCTTGCAACGTTGAGCAGCTCGACAAAATTTTTGGTTGGTTTAATAAGACAGTCCGAACCAATAAACAGTTTGTCGGACACCCACGGCTCAAAGGGCTCGGAATAGTATACCGCGAGCTTTCTTGCTTTGCATGGCAATGACGCATGAGCAGAACGCGGAAAGCGATCCGGTTAACAGCGTCGGGGCTCGAAAACCTAGGACTAAAATAGCCAAATCAATAGGCCGGGTTGGCACATAATAATGACTGCCGCATGTTAGAGTGGGACAGGCCATTGAGTAGACAGGCGCAATATATATATATATACATATATATATACATACATATATGTAACCTAATAGGTTCAGTAATAATATAGCCGAGGTTCTTACTGGCCAGTGGCAATTTTGCCTGTTTTTTCAATGGCCTGTCCTACTCTGACATAAGGCGGTCGTTTGTATATATACACATATACATATAAATGAGAATAATTTAATAATCAATATAGGGATTAAAATATTTTAGTTTTTTGTTAATTTAATATTAAGTTTATTGTAATATATATATATATATATATATATATATATATATATATATATATATATATAATGTTATTTACAATTATTCTCATTTATATGTATATGTATTTAACTTAATATTAGCTTTATTGTAATTGTAAATAATATATTATAATATATATAATATAATAATTGTTTACAGTTACAATATATATATATGCACATTAATAACCACCCTATGTGAGAGTAGGTCAGGCCATTGAATAGCCAGGTGCAATGCAGAGGTGATTACCTATTATGTATATATAGTAAGTGGTCAAGAAAAAATGACATAGTAAAATATAGCTATAAAGCAGATTTTCTCAAAAAAAGATTCTCTCACCTATCCCATTTAATTAATTGAACTACGTTTCCCTTTACATTATTATTATTTTAGAGAAATGCTATTTCGCGTAATGCGTACATTTGTATGGGATGGTGTAAGCATTTCATATACTGTTACAGTATATGTTACAGTGTATGAAATGCTACATATAATAAGCATAATCGTACTTGCGAGGATTTTTAAGTCATGTAAGCTATGCTAATAAGTTGTGATATATAAACCAGTACTCCGGAGTAGTCAGGACAGCTTTTGTTTTATTTCATTGCATCTGTATTTCTATATCTTCTAGAGACATAATATGTACTGTTATAAGTATATACATAGACTTGTGCGGTTCATCTGATTCACATTTGACGTCCACAAGCTTAGCGTAGATATTTACATCGTTACAGATACACTGCATTTGATAATCTGTCATTCAACATTTTTGGAATATACTTTGAAATTATCTGTTTTTACAATGGTTTAGACACAAAGATATCGGATAAAAATGCAGATATGAACGTTCCTACAAATCAATAAATGATATTCCGAACCCCGCGGTGTATTAGTTATCCCCACTGCATTTTAAGCCTTATGATTGACCACAAGCTTTTAAGCGCATGACTTGAGATAAATAATAAAGTGCATTTCGAACATAAAAGCACTTTTTTTACTATGAAATAACTGAATCGCAAAAAATCACGCAACCCCGAAAAGTCATACGCAAAACAATCCATGGTTTAAAGATCTTTCGGGACCATTACACCACACATCTACCCTAATCCTTACCATTGATATCTGAATATGAATATATCATAATCAAATTGATAGCCCTTCAGGAACACGTGGTTTTAGGTTTAACCTGTAAAGTAACACAAACAACACTGAGCGGGCTACCTGCTAATTAACAAGCTGTTCTTTGGAAAGCCACCAACAACAATACCAAGTTTTGAGCACTCAAATTCATTTAAAACAAAAAAAATAGCAACTTGAAGCTTGGATATGTTCGAACGTGGACGTATCCTTAACACACAAAAAAAGCTGGACAGCGAACAATTAACCATGTACAAACACCACTACTATGTCAACATTTCGTCATATCACATCAAGTCATGTTACAGAGTGTCATAAATGCTGCAGAACTAATTAATTCTCCAGGTAGCATTTACATTTTCGTTTCAGTAATCAAAAAATGTAAGTTCACTAACCGGCTTATTCCCAGTTTACTGTTGGTCCTGCGTCGCAAGACTGTTTGATCCGCGTGTACTTAGCCGGAAAAACCTCTCACGCACTATTTTTTTAATCATGCAACACTTCGAACACAGTTTTGTTCGCACACAACAACGTACAGCACTTGTCAATGTTAACAGCTCCAAAATTATGTGAAATATCGCATCTGGAATCTTAGCGGGTTCTAGCGGGCTGCTAGCGGGTTGTTGACAGCTAGCGGGTTAATGGCAGCTAGCGGGTTATCGGCCGTTAAAGGGTTATCAGCAGCTCGCGAACTTAACTATAATGGCTGAGATGGACTTTACGATAGTGTCTGAACTGTTATATCTGTTTATGGCTGAGCAGCACAATGCAAGCACACAGTACAATCTATAGGAACAAGTCATTTGAATTGGGCGGGCCCGACCTCGACCCCGATTTCGAACGACGTTTTCCGCGCGGTTGTGACGATGTTGCTGATTTCAGAAGGTTCAGTTAGGCGCAATATAGAAATAAAGATGGTTACCGGTTAATAAGAACATTGGCTAACATGAACTAATATATATATATATATATATATATATGATGAGCGCATTAATTCACGTATGCATAGGTATATATACACGGACAGGATGATAGCCTGTAGGCTAACTCGGTTTCAGTAAATAAAACAAATGAGTATTTGGGAGAAAGAAAAGGGCTAAAAATTCTGCTGCTGTAGTGAACTTTCGCTTGCAAACACTCCAGCTATGTGACGACATATAATATTCATATATATATTTACTATGAATAAGGATGCAGAAAAAATACGGAGATTTTCTACGAATACAACGTCGAATTGTTTTCATTAATCGAGAAAGAAATTACCTAGTGAAATTTAGCTTAAAGGCGGATTGTCTAAGAAAAAGATTTTTTCAAGTTCCACTCAGATTGAACTATTTTGTTGTCTTCTATAACTGAACTATTATAACTATTATTATATTAGAGAAATACAATTTCGTATAATACGTTCATTTGTACGGGATGGAGTAAACGTTTCATATATCGTTACAAGGCGGGCGGCGAAGTAGAATTGTACTTGCAAGGATTCGTAGATCGCGTAAACTATGCGAATTAGTTATTGTGCATAAATCAGTACTCCACATCAGTCAAAATATCTTTGGCTCTATTTCATTGCATCTTTATCTCTTTACCTCCTAAAGACGTTATGTGTGCATTTATACATATACTCACATGGTTCTGATCGATATGGATTAACATTACACCGACAATCTTGGCAAGAGTACATATATCGTTATACGTACATTGCATATGGCATTCTATTATTCAACATTCTTGTATTATACTTAAAATATATGTTTATTTATACAGGTGGGATAAACTTTTAATTCTATTTAGAAACATCTACAACATTATTTCAACAATCAAAAACTCTATGCTATCTATAGTATTGACTTACGATCTTTATTTCGACTTTTCGGATTTAAACTAGCTAGTCTTACGTCAGTCACAACTGGATTATAATAACCAATGAATGTGCCACGGTACTTTTGTTGATTTGCGAGTCATTTGAAGATCGTACCGAGTGTTTATTCAGCTACAAAACTGAAATATGTTTTGCAATCTTTATCGTATTACATATGCGGCAAAACACCGGTAAATGGCGCAATAGTATTGCTGTTAAAAGCAGCAAGGGGGGCAAGATTGAGGTAGAAACAAGCGTACGTTTCGGGTTGTATCATTTGGAGCTTGCTGTAATGTTTTTTTTTTAATAATAGAAGACTTGACACAAGAACAAATAGTACGTTCGGAGAAGGACTCACTCGACTTATTCCTAAAGTCCACTAGCGTCAGGCGATTCGATTAAACCTTAAATTATATTTATTTCAAGATATTTATGGATCAATATTTTTCGATAGGACCAGCGCAGACGAAGGAGACATTTGAAGCTTTACTAAATAAATAATAAGTATGTCTGGATATCTGCATTTAGACGATTCATAAGCACAATGATAGCTTTAGTGGTTGGTTAGCAATGTCATTTTCATAAGAAAAGAGTTGAATAAAAATGCTTACTTTATCCAAATCCAAGCTAATTTCTGTTTATTGGCGTTTGTGCAAGTTGGCCAGTTGCAAGCATACTGCTTTTTTAAGCTTTGAATTAGCTAAAATCTTCTTTTAACGAAACGCACTATAATACTTCATCGTACAGTGACAAAAAAAAATACAGTTTTATTTTACTTTGCATTCACAAAAAATATGTTTTTTCGTTTAGGTCTTTAATTTGTGGTTCTCCGGAACTCTTGACCCCGTTCGTGTCTCTGTTAGGACCATTCTCCGCTCGCCGCTACTCGCTAAAGGCATCAACGTCCCGGCCACCCAAAATACACAGAGAGGAATTAAGTGCATGTAATGTTTACAAATGCCTTTTCTCTCAACTAAATCAGCTGTTAATTCGAATTGTCTGCCGATTAATTCAGTCATTTTCTAAAAAAAAGAGATACAACTGAAACGTCTCTTTATCTGTTCAGTTCAAACACCTTTGCCTGTAAATCCCTAGTTTGTCGAATGATCTCAAGTCCTAATCTAATTTTTTTTGTTTATTTATCAATGTTATGATGAATCGGACAAACTATGAGTATCTGACATTTAAACGAAGAGTCGCATTTATTGTAATGTCGTAGCACACATTACTGCTCGAAAATATATGAACCTTTCAAAACTTTTTCCGCGCCTATCATCATTTTTTTTCGGCACGTAAAGTCAAATCTTTTCCATCCATTAAAAAGGTGTAAACAAAGAGCTGTGACAAATGTGAAGAAACAGCAGCAACAAACTGTCTACATAGTCATGTTGGCTTCGACGACCTAACGCCAGTGCAGGTACTCTTTAATCACAAGTTTCACAGAACTGGCTGCTATTTGTTTCACAGTGGTTAACGATGGATTTTAGGTGGTTTGAACTGTGGTTACTTTTACTATTGCTATCGCGCCCGCTGCTGAACTCTCAATCGTCTGGGTCGTCTTACATGAGTTAACTCACGATAGACGCATTCTAGAGAGGCAAATCACTAAATTTCATCAAGGGAAGCTGGATGAACAAGAATAAACGCAGGTGAGGCCAAGATTCTAGCAAGTCCCACTCCTTCTATATGAATCACGTCAGTGAATTGGCTTCCTACCGACAATATTAGATGAATGGTTCAAGCTAGATGCCGGTTACTATCTCACATAGCTGGTGGCTCTTGTTGCTATATAAAGAAGTGTGTCTACACGCCGTTTCCAACCTAAACTTCGCATTAGACTAATCAGCAAACGCGTTAACACTGAAGCATCGATATTATAATGATTTGATGGGAGTGCCGTTGTTTACGTTGAGATAGTTACGATCCTATTGTTATTTACCTCAGGCCGATGTCTCCCACCTGTGTTTTTAGAGAAATAAGCAGATCCGTTCGGGCTTCGCGCTCTCTACGCTTGCACAACTAGCAAGAAATAAAGCTGTTTTATTGGATTAAAGTTGTCTTGCTTGTATCAGTTTATTAGCATAATTTTGGATGATGAAGCTTGATTGCTAACAGAAATGAACTAATGGGCACTGTCGATGTTACTCTGAACTATATACTGTCTATAAGCAGCTAATATAAATTTTGCTTCCTTGGGGGGTGTTAATACGCTTCTATAATACCATTTGCCTCCAATGAATACAACAATCTACAGGCCGGCCTTGAGATTTTTGCGATGGCCACCTTTACGACCTTATTCTAATACAAAAGGCGTCCTATATCTGCTCAGTTGCGGTATGTTTGAAACTGAAGCTGAATCGTATGTTGCCTAGGTTAAACAACTTTCTGCAGATACAAAATAAAATTTGTGGAAATAGAAGAAGAAAATAGAGTTTAAGCAGAAGTTTAGAAAGAAAATAGAAGAGGAAGTTAGACTAGAAGATGTTCGATAAAAATGCGGATTGGAACGTTCTAGCTAATTCATGAATTATATTTAAGTAAAAATTGTTTCTTCTTCTTCTAGTCTTCCAGTCTGTAGCGAAGTGGTTTGCCTACCTAAAATCAATTGCTCGTCTCGGAATATACTGAATGAAACGGATCGCCGCTGTTGCAAACCCCCAGTGCATCATTTGTTGAACTTCGAAGTTGTGTCTAAGACAAAAGAACTAACTTAATTACTAGTAATTAATAATATCAGTATTTAGCTTGACGTATAACACGTTAAGCGATACCCATCTCAACCTTTAGAACGCCTGTAAGCTATGACGAACCTTGGGCAACGGTTGAATGATTTTCGGCTAAATGGTGGACAGCTCTGTGATCTTGATTTGGTCGCCTGTGACTCGGATGTCGTCGTCAAATGCCATAAACTCGTGTTAATGGCTTCCAGCGATTATTTCTACAAAATGCTATCGTGTGGTAAGTGTTACACTGCTCTTATTGAACCCATTTCCAGTAGATGTACGGCGACATTTTAGCAGCTCGTGCTGCCATTTAATACATATATTATCTTTGTTTAGCTAGGTTTCTTAACAATGTCAAGGACAACTTCACTTCAAAATGTTGAAAACCTGAAAGCAATCTCAAAACTCAATTATTGGAACTGCATAGACAAGAACATCGTTTGTTTCATAACTGTATATAAATTTTATCCCGAACTAAGTGGATTGACGTCGATACTACAATCAAGCAAGGGCAAATCAGGCCTAGAAATGGCAGGGGTTTCAAGAGCTACAAATTTCTCACACTTAAGCAATAAGTGTTCGCCGTGCTGCTTCTAATGTAGGGTATAGTATTTTTAAGTGCTTAATGAAAAACCGCGTAGTCAATAAATTGCTCACACTTAATTAAATGTTTAGGGTAGTTTTCTGAAAATAAGATAGACAAATAGATCGCTTCGGTTACTGGTTAGTTCAATGCATCATTCACCGTGCTAACAGAAAATAGCTCTTCTTTAGTTCTATTTGTGCAGCTACATGTATAAACCTTTCCATTTACATTCCGATAACAGATTCGAGTGATATGTCGGCCGAAGGCAAATCGAGACGACGAGAAAAAAACTAGATAACCTATTAAAAACGGAGAATTCGAATTTGAGAGAATACCCAACATTTTGTAATATAGTATAATTATGCACGCAGTACTAGCTTCCGTTTGCTGCACAATCTACGGTGAAGCACGTCCATTTTCGTTACTAACTACCGAAAGAACTAATTCATCTGTTGGGCTCCGTCGTTATCTTACCTAGCCGGTTTCATTCGATGTGTACATATACATGACCAAGTGTACACCCGACAAGTCTACAGCTGCCCAGCACACTGCATGCAAGTTGATGGGTCGGTTCTGTATAATTTCGTATTTTGTTGGAGAATAGCGCCATTTAACCAAACCTGGATACAGAAAAAATCACCTGCGTAAACTCTTACAGCATCACGGCGCCCACATCATAAAAATATTTTTATTTGTATCGTACGGATGTATACGGCTATATATATTCGGCGTTCTATACGATCAGATATAGACTAAAGACAGTAACACAACACGAATGCTCGGCTTGTTTTACCTTTGTAGCTATTTACCAACCATGACCCTAATTTCTCTAAAGCACAAATACACACAGCGTCTATGTCAATAGAGCAAGCATAGGTTAGGAGATGCTCTGAGATATGTTTTAAATGTCTGTTTTGTTTGAAGCTAATATGTTTAAGGTAACAGCATTTTTTTTACTAGCATTGTTAGTCAGCTGACAAGTACAAGACGAACCAGAGCGAATAAATTCCTCTATGTATATACCTATCATGTAGGTAAACATAACTAGTCTTATACTTGCCTCATCACAATTGAACTAACGATTTTTGTGTTGCCGTCACATCGTCATGCATTGAACGCGGCCCGCTTGTTGATATCAGTAGGTACAGGCGATGTCATTGAGAAAAGTTAGTGGATTTTTATGACGCGTATTATAAACTACCTTGATATAACTTTTACATAGGCACGCTGTGAGTGATTCGGAATAGATAATGTTTGTTGACGGCTTTTTCGAATGCGATGTAGATTTGACTCCGCTGTTGCAGCAAGTACGCCTTTACGCTTAATGTGTCGGGTCGTAATTCGTGAGTGTGTAGGGTATAGTCTAGTGGCTAAGGCTCTTGGCATATACCCAGGCGACTCGATATTAAAAGTTTTGTTTTTTGTACTTTTTACGAATGATTTCTGAATGAAATATTTGAATCTATTGTAATTCCTAAAGAAAGTGATTATCATTGTAATAAATGGCGAGATGGATAATTTATTAAAAGTTGTGACACAGTTTTCATACCGTGAATAAGGTCCGGTAATTTGCCCGATGCATTTGTGTGCTTAGATGTATATATGTAGGATAGTCGCACTTTTTCAAATATTGTCGATTTTTTTCAGTGGTCTACTTATCATTAACATTAAATTTATTGTTATTATATTATTACTTATTTATCATGATATAATTAGTAATACATATGTAGTCAGTATCGAGCATATTATACAATGGCTTAAGGCCCGGTATGGTTAAGAAAAAAAAACTATATTTATAATTATAATTTCTGTATGTAAGTTCGGTAACTTTTAAGTGAATGGCGAACAAAACACAACCTGTAGATAAGCAGATATATTTTATGAGATTGTGGTAGGTTTATCTTCGTATCTTATTCAATTGGGAAAATTGTAACAATCTCTTAAGTATCATCATGCAATATCAGTTCATTTTCCATCCATACTTGTTACTTGTTATGTGTAATACATCACCAGATGTGTATACAGCGCGCATTACTTTCCTATACCTTCTCGTAACTATGAACTATTGCAGGTATGCAGGAGTCCAGGGCGGAATCCATTTCTTTGTCAGATTGTCGCTATGAAGTTTTGTCCATCCTCATCGAGTTCTTCTATACTGCCGAGACACCATCAGGCATCTCGTGTGATAACATCCTCGAACTATTTTCCTGGGCAATTCGTTGTGACTCAACGGCCCTTTGTCGGCATTGCAGTAATTTTATTGACAACGCACTGGGATGTGATAATGTATTGAACATTTACGCATTTGCAGTGGGTCATAACTTGAAAAATCTCAGGTCAGCGAGCTTAAAATGAATGCGTTCATAATTTTTGATCTATGAAAATTTAAAAAAAAACACATTTTGCACGTATTATATGCTGCTTTTTTTTTTTTATCTACGATGTTTTTATGCCGTTGAAGCTCTACTTTTAAACATTACTTGAGAAACGAATTTAGAGGGTATAAGCAACGCAAAGGGATCTATGAAACTTTAAAGTAGGAACTTATTAGTCGAAGTTTATGCGCCGGCAGGCCTATACTGAGATGTAGTAGTGGGGACATATCTATAATGCCTATGCAAGCTAATGTTGGTGCAACCTTTTTTTTTCATTCCTGTGATCGTAGCTTTATTTTGGTATGATGACGTTATGTTTTTAGATATCTTCTTTCTCTCTTTAGATTCTTATTTTGGATTCTTTTAGTTCGTTACATTCGGAAAAAATAACAGAAATCGTATGTTTTATTCGTTTTAGGGCACAGTGTCTTCAATTTATGCAGAACAATTTTGAGGAGATGGTCAAATTGAATTCCGAAGAGTGGCTAGCGGTCTCTCGCGAAACGATGGAAGAAGTCATCTCGTCTGATTATTTGCGAGTATGTCTAAACTTTTTTCGAACTTCTTTCTCATGTTCCTCATCTTATAGTTGCGGTTTGTTATATAATTATTTTGCTCAAAAAGAGCTTACGAATCTCTGAATTACAATCGATATTTGCATTTATTGAACTACTAAGCGATAACGGAAAGTAATTCAGTTGTCTCTACGAGCTGCAAACTACAAGAAGCTGTTTCATAAATTATACCAGTAATAATTTCGTTTTCTTTTTGGTTAGGTTTGCAGCGAGGACACAATTTTACTCATGCTATTACAGTGGACCGAGCGGCATCCTGAGCACAGGGATATTCTTGCACATACCCGTACTAACTACCTGTCTAAACGAATCTTTGACGACTATAAGGATCTCCTAAAGGGAGTTGGAGCTCCACCTGCTCGGCAGATTCCGCGGAGGTCTGCATATTGCGCACATAATAGTAGAAGTAGGAAAATTATGTACAAGATTCCCGCACTGTAGAAAATTGATTTGGAATGGAATAAGAATTTGTTTTGTGTGACTGTTGTTTGAAGATCAGCCGTCCAATGTTCTCGTCGAGTTTCGAAACCTAAATGCTTATATGGCGGTCCGATGTATTCCCACTTGCAGGTATTCGAGGCAACATGTGCAAATGATATTACAGGGTACCTTGGATCTGGCAGACTTGTATATTCATTGTAGCTGTGACAATGGTCAGCAGTTCTTCCGTGTAGCGAAGCTGCCGACCGAGTACAGGGAATGTGATGAAGACTTTCACATTGCGTTCTGCGCAACGTTGAGCGATAGGACACTTTGGTTGATCTCCAACAATCAACATCTTTATCGATACAATTATAATACGCGAAAAATGATCGGGCATAAAGCTATTAGACGGTGAGGTGACAGATTGCCATATATGAGGAAGTCACTATGAACCTTTAAAATGAGAAGATATCTGTTTCTTCGGGGAAGGAAATCGGGTCTTTTGTGCTTTAGTATTATTTCATGCGAGGGCAGAAGTGGTCTAGAGTTTATCGTAAACTTTCATTATATTTGATCATTTGCGAAAGCGAGTCGCTTTTTAATTTCAGTATACGCTGAAATGAACCCGAATGTAATGAACGCCCCGAATGTTTACTCCTACCTTACTCTAGAATATGGTTTTATGAGTTTTACAGAATGGCTATTTCTATTCGATAAGATAAACAATAGAAAAACTGAATTTCTTTTTCAGGAACATCTTTATTGTTCACATGGCGCCTGTTCAGGATATTCTATACTGCATCGTCCGAGTGCAATCCGGGGGTTCGGTGGAGCTACAAATGTTTCTTAATTCGTTATTTCGTTGGCAAACATTTCTCTCGTTAGATAATGACGCTTACCGCATTATCCATACGACCACCGATGTCATATACATTCTCGGACGAGAAGGCAGTCTCACCCGTATAAATCTCACCAACGTACGTCTATGTTTTTTGGTGTTTGTTTTCCGTCAAGGCTAAGCACAAGAGAATTTCGGCTAATCTTCTACTTGTGTATTCAACTATTAAAATGTTCAATAGACTCTCGACCTTGTTTTCAAAACCAAAACGTTCCAGTTATTATTTGTCATGAATTATTTCGCAGATCGGTAGTTTTTTTTTGCTTAGCTCAAAATAAGATCGTAGCTATAATTATAATAATCATCTTCATGTGATAACTATTCAAGAACACAACCCGCCCAGAGTGTCTGTGCGCGAATCCCGAGGCGGACTGGCTGGACTGCGAGGCTGTAGCATTGCCTTCTGGACAACTCTTGGTACACGGACGCGACACTGAAGAATTTACGACGTTTGAGTTTGATCCGAGCGCCCTCAACTGGTCGCTTCTTTGTACCCGTACAGCCATTAGTGTACGAGAGCAGAAGTAAACGTTTTGATTCCACTATGTTTAACGCTCCGAACATCTTGCCACTTTTGATGTAGTCTGAACCAATGTCAAACGTGGCTAAAAATAAAAAATCTCCCGCGAATAGCCGTATTTTAACTATTTACAACATTACATTGAGCTTTTTGGAAAAATGAAATGTAATACCCAAACTTTATATGCAAACCGTTTACAAATCAGAACCTCAAAGATTAGGTATACTTCGTGGCTCTGCTTTATATACCACTACTGTCATCAGAGACTGCGTTGAATACTTCAAGAAGAAAAGTTCTGCGCGTTATTAATTGAAACATGAAGTGCCATCAATTGGGTCCGTACCACGTCAATATAATCCTGTATTCATGTTTCGCTTTACAGGTAAAATCATACCATCTGTTCATATCCGATATGGAAGCCTACCTCGTCGAAGACACCATGCATTGTATTCGGGTTCTTCTATGGACTGTTGTCGATTCGGGCTATCGGTGGGAGAAGGTTTGCGAGATTGAACACATGTATGAACGATTAGTCGGGCCTGTAAGCTGGTATCATTATGATCAATAAAAGTTCCCATGCTACCGATACACTGTAAATACAAATACTGATCAAACACATCAATTCTGCGTATGACGACTCAGATAGTTAGACATTTATGTATGAGACATACCCCCTACGAAGATAGATCAGATTTACGTATCGGATAGCGGTGACAAAATATGCCAGATATGATAACTTGTATATGAAACTCCGTGAACCGAAGGCAGAGTGGATTTCCGCGAACCGTATATGCTAGAGTGTCCTTCATCGGGTAGTTGTCAGTGCATAATTGCGGCTGAAAGGATTTCAGCCACACCATAAGCAGACGCAAACTAGACGATTATTTGGGGCTTAACGTTTATATTGTATTTTGTTTTGACGGTTACCTAGATGGAATGCTCAAAATGCTGTTGCTCTTGCTGCGCGGCCTAAAGCATAATCTATTTTACCCCTAATTTTTTTTTTTACTATGAATGTGACACCTGAATATGCATGGTGTTTGAATTGTACGAAATCGACTGATGCTACAGTTATTGTGTAAAGTACATTTTTGCTTTAAGTCTGCATTCGATAACTATCGTAGTATTCGAAAAACAATGGGCAGTAAAGCGTATATGCAGAAATTCTGCTTTGTAGATAAACTTTTGAATTGTTGGAAGGAATACTATCTTGGTGTAGCCGACATTGTTCATCAATAATAGTAAGTGGTACTATTTTTGTCACATCTTTTATTATTTAGGTATTTGAATATGTTATCATGTGCAGATTACAAAATTTGAGTAAATTCGTAGATAATTACAATATATAAATCTATTTCTACTAAAGGCATCTAGGCACATGGTATTTACAATTAGCTTTGTATTTCCATATATTTTTTTCATTGTCGTAAATGTATGGATAATCATTGTTACAGACGTGATCGTAAGGTCAACAACGAGCATAAGACAACACTTAAAAGTACATAGGGGCTGTTTTGGCTATCGTTGTTGTCCAGTTTTCTAAAAAATATGACTTACTTTTAGCCTTTGCGCCAGTCAAAAGTTAAGCTTTTATTAAAAATATAGGGTTTTGTTCATTAATGCATTATCTTATTATCGTAAAGGTTGATACGGCTTTCTACCTAGGCTTTAAATTAAACCATTTGTCTTCTAGTTGGAAGATGTATTGGGCAGAACGGACGTAATCGAATGTAAGTATACCAAAACGTAATGTTACAACTTAAGCCTTCTGCTTCTGTAGGTTCGTGAATGGGCTGATCTTATGCAAAAATGAAATATAGGACGTCGCTTTCATATAGGACTTATACCACTAAAAGACTGAGTAGCCGTGCTAGCTTTGTTGTGAATTTTAGTCCATATGTAACATTTCCATGCACGAACTGGACGCATTATTGCCCAATGGTAGATATAGATATTATATTTTCCTCAATCGATCGATCGTCGGATCAGGCAAAAATTACTACTTTTTTAAAAGATATAATTTATGATTCGATAACAAATTATTATAGTTGACATAAAAATGACTCGCATAAATTATTGCTGTATCCATCGAGTATTATGGCCGCACACTTCAGGAAAGATTTAGCAAAACGAAATGTTGTTCGTTCTGCTAAACTGAACGCGACGCAGCTAGTTTTTACAGTTTATACAGTGGTTAAAAAAGTTTTCTAAAAACTTTTCTAACCACTGTATTACAAATCCCCGTATTGAAGCGCCGATTCCAATTTAGTAGGGTCAATTAATAAGAAAATCAAATACAATAATTGCTATATGCCACTGTCCATCGTTCAGGTCAACATTAATATACAGACAATCATTTCATGCATTAGCTTTAGGTAATAGATTGACTAATCGAAAAATCATTAGTTCATGCTTGTGAGCAATTGTACTAGGCTAAGGAATGAAGCGGCCAGCCCAATCGCTCCATTGTGCCATGTTTTTAGCTTTCCGGCCCATAAAACGCCTTTCGGCAGCCAGGAAATCGCGTTGATCAGATTGAGGGATGAAATTAGCAGAGCGACTACGTGTTGGGCTTTCGCGCGGCGAATTTCCGTCCTTAAAAACAGCAGTCGATGAAAACATTAAACACATTGAAAATTCTACGTTAGTCTATGCAAAGCCAAACAATTCCATTGTCCTCTCGGATTGTCTTCTGTAGATGACAAAACACCAAATAATACGCTCGTACACCTATTTATTTTGATACGCGGTGATTTTATGTGTAGTGTTTTAACAGAATCTTCCTTAGATCAACGAGTACTTCGAGGAATATGAAAAACAAATTGAAAACTGTCGTTTAAGTTTCGGCGAGTCACGCATCCGTTACACGACTCATACGCAATTTTTTAAAAACCATTTTTTCAAGAGACCAGTACGTGGAGGCTATTGCGCTTTTTTCTTTATCGTCGTTAGTTATTAGCATGACGTGCTAATTGAACTTACGTTTCGTTCCGAAGCGCATCCTGCTGTTGGCCGAGTTTCTTAAGTGACCTTATAGCTTTTATGCAGCCACAGTACAGTGAAAACGCCCACAGGAACTTGCTGGTTGTCCATAGCCGGTTAGTGTCACGAAACCGTATTACACGTTTGTCACTCAGCCAGGCCATATGTTCGACAAGAAAGAATACCTGATCCGCAATGTTTTTTACGATACTTACAAATCGCAGCAGCTAAGGGTCACAGATACGAAATTGAGTTACATATTTCGATTACGGAACATTTCCTATTGTACGTGCGAAATAATACAACGTAGGCACCTTAATTCAACTGGACGGTAAGGCAAAAGTGGACACAGACTGTCCATACGAAATTTAAAATGATGTTACTGAAGTCGTTGAATCAAGATCCGATTGTTTTGTCTAAAGCCAACAGATAGTCGAGTGGATGCCATCTGCCCTAAAAGTTAACTATTTCAAAGCTAAATGCTAAAAAAGCCAGTTCACTTTACCGCCGCATTCTATACACTATATACCTACGTCGCTTCCGACACTATGTAACTTCCAACTCCCAGTTATCGTGATACTTGTTGTATCCGAATACATAACAGATTGTTAATTTCCACAATACTTTGTTGTGGAAGTACAGCACTATCATAAGTGTTGCGTCTCTTGAGAATCTAAAGGCTTCATTTGTAGCTAACCAATGACCGTATTCGTTGATTTCGATTCCTAAGTTTAGTCAGCATAACATCAACCGTAAAGCAGGTTTTAAAAAAAAGTAAAATTTTCACGCACACTTACCTAACGACTTGCCTTTGCAAGAACGGTAAATGCCAATCTCTTTAGCAGTTTGCTTTTATAGGGTTGCATGACAATACAGACGACGTGGCGCTTCGTTGTTATCACTGATAATTAAAAAGTATTGCCTTCCAGCTGCCAGCGAAACAAAAATCTCTGCTTTTTATTGATTACACGTTTTAATTCTGTGTACCTTTATTTTTTTCACTGTTGTGAGCATACTTTTTGAATCGTTAATTAAGTATAAACTAAGGCCCAAATATAAACAAAAATTCGTATATGGCGGCATGATTTGATCAAGACAATAAAATGGCTAGGGGTCACCTAATATAGAAATTTCATCAAAGGTGTTTATCTAGTGACAAGAAACAATAGCTTTGGGTGACTTAGCTAATCATTGTCGTACGACGACTACGGTGTTTTCTCTTCATATAGATCCCCGTTATTTAGCCTTTAGACGGAATCGCTAAACGTATCTTGGCGAAGCTTCTGACAATGCATAAATTGTGACCGTTTAACTTATCCACCCACCTCCTAGATTTTTCCAGCATTCGGCTGGTTCTAACGACAGTAAAAACAGAACTGATCAAATCTATTTCACATTGCCGTGCAATGCGTTGATTAACAGGCTTCACTTTCCCAAAAAAAGCGCTTGCTTTATAAAAACCAAATTATCAATTTAAATATTAAATTGACTTTTTACAGGCACTTTTTGTGAAACGGAAGTCGCCATATCGCTTTTTATCTCTTTCAGCTTCAACATCATACTTATATAGGTCAAAAGTAAGCTAGACATACTTTAAGTGAAGAGAGGACAGTAAATCCGAGAAAGACGTGAATTAAGTAGAAATCGCTGCACTGTAAATATTCGGTTCTTCATGAAGCAACAATGCTTACAAAAATTATTGTTTTTTATGGAGCGTCTAATAAACGTGGCACTCCAGCAGTTCATGGCGAATCTTATAGGCCTCCTACTCATTTAATTTACAAATAGTTCCATAAAATAATCACTTAACGGTCCTAACTATGAATAGACACGTTTCAGTAATTTACCAATGATTTACTAAAAGCCTGATTACATTTTCATGAACCCGTGAGTTAAATGTTATTTCATTACAAATGTGCAACACTTCATCTCTGTGAGCGAACGTTTCAACGGCACATCTAAACCTTAAGAAAGTTATCTAATGGACGTCGTACGACAGGTCTAGTGGCTAGGACAGCTGGTTTTTAGGCGAACGGGTTCGATTCCCGATATAGGACACTTTACGTTTCAAATTCTAGAAGTCACATTTCGAAATTTCGGCAAAACTCGATATTTTTTAGTTATAAACTTTTTAGAACTAGCAATACGTTTAATTGAAACATTACCAATTCCATAATTTCACTTACACAAAACCTTTTTATATGTGTATCACGGTACCATTTAGTTGTCTTGAAGCGCCTATACCATTGATTCCCATCTATAGACTCTCCTTCAAATTTGTTTCTCTGTTTACCTAAAATCACTTTCATCATCAACGCAGAAGTGCTGTTTGCCAAAAACCTCATCAGTTTATGACTTACCGGACAAAACGAACTTCAAAGAAGAACATTAACGTTTTAAGTATTTCATATCTAGTGACTGTGTATTTTGATATGCGTATCAGATACGGTCCAGTGACCAGCGTCCGTGCCTTTCATTTCGGCCGCCCGCGTTGAATTTCTGGCGTTGGAGAGCTGTCTGTTCTAGAGTTCGTGAGTTGAAATTTTGGTCGAACCTGATTTTCCTAGGCAAACCAAATGCTTGGAAAGCGATGTAATACCTACACACCAGGCCACTGCCTCTAAGTGTTAAATGTACCACGTTGCGACAAATGGCTAAAAAATTTCGCTAGTCTTACTAGTGTCAATCCACTGGGCTCTATTCTCTGCTGTTTCGGCTACAGCCGTTTTAATGGCCACTGATAGGCTACAAAATAGCTTTGAGCAGAGTGTGACCTTCGTTCCGTTTCTCGGGAAACGAAAGGAGTCCGCTAGAAGAGTAATAGCGGTTGGAAATAATTGTTTAGGGAACACATGATTCTCTTCAAAAACTTCCTTGTTTTAGTTCTAAACAATACGTACTAGGAGAATTTAACAATACGTAACGTACTTCAATTGAAGCTTTGTGGTGTTACTGTATGACAACTTCAGATACAACTTACAAAAATATCTCTGACAAGTTCAAAATCTCTCAATTCGAGTACCTATTCAAGTGAAGTTTAGCCTTCGCTGGGCAAGTATTTTCCAATAGTAATGCGATAATTCTGCTCATTTGAAAAGTTTGCTTTTGAAAACAAACTACCCATCAATGTTCATAAGCTATCTAAATATCAAAAAATAACCTAGCACCGAATCGTTTTTTGCAAGTTACTAAAGCGCAGAAGGCATCCACTGTCGAATTCACAATGAAGTTAAATATAGTAAGTGTCGATAGTTCGATGTAAAATCCAAAATCGTGGATCATTCGTTTTCTATCTCTATTTATATAGAGCACTCGTTCAGTTCAGTTTGCTTACAAACACCATTTCATAGACAGAACTGCTTATAACTGCTAAGCTCTATCCAACGCGTGACATGTTAGCTTACAAAATACGATGACTATACGAAACAAAAAGATATCATTTGGACAACAGAATTTTTGTTCTGATAACAGCTACATTAGTCGTTGGCAAGTCGTTTAATCGAAAATATTTCCTATCCTGTTATAACAGCCGAGTTGACTCTGCGTAGCATCACATTTCCTGGCCTGGGTCTCATAGCAAAAATATACGAGGGTGAATGTTCGACGCCGGTAATGTGTCCACCCACACGACCGATGCGAGGCACTCGACAGTATGTCGAGAGCAAACTGTGGATCTATGAACATGTGCTATTTCCACTAGTATTAATTAAGTGTAGTCTCTAGCTCCCAGTTTAATTACCAGATTAGTTTTCACTTAAGAAGGAGATAAAAATAACGCTGAAAATGCACTTTTAGTAATTTGACTTGATTTAGTAGATATTTGGTCGTCACTTGCGAACTCCGCTTTCCCTAGCTTTCTCTAACCTGATCTTCTTCAGATTTGCCAAGCCCATATTGCATCGAGTATTTCAGCATAGGCCAGTCATCCAGCATTCGTAAAACTACCCGACACTGTGACATCTCCCTCGACATCGTCTGAAATCTTAAAACAACAAAGTATATTGCCTTCAGAAAATGCACGATATTCAAAAAAATGTTCCGATAGTGCCGCTAACCATTGCTTTAGATACCTGCCTTTCACCACGAACCAAACTGTGTCTGCATCCGATTTCAGATCAAGACCAGCACATGTCTTTAAAGTTAATCACTACATAAACGATACACAAACGTTAGCTACATTTACTCGACACATGACATCATGACTGTTATATGACGAAAGAACCGTTGACCATTGATATCGGAAAAAGTGAAAAATGTTATTTCGGAATATGTGATTGCGCATTTTCGCATTCCTGTCATATAAAAATTAATCTCGAAACAGCATGGACCAGTAAGAACTTACCGTCTTTGTATGCCACCTTCGGTCAAGCCTCCGGCCAGCATGCATGTATAACCAATCGTTTTGATTAACCCGTCCCGGCCCTGATAACTTGCTAGTAATGTATCACACATTTTTCTGTGTTGTTTTCGCTAGAAACTGTTTAACACCTAACCAAAAAGACAAGAGATAATACGGTAATTAACCTTTCTGTAAATTAGTGCAGATTGAAGACGCACGTTATCTGTTAGTATTTTATTTACTAGCACTTAACTACACATGCATATTTATATATTCTTTCTGTCGTAAGTGAACTAGACGCTCTAACTGTAAATGACATGTGGCTGTATTTGCACGAACTGGTTTCTCCCTCAAAAATTAAAAAGAAGAATATATATACACAGTTTGCTTTTTTTTAGAGCACGAAAGAGAAAGCTGCCATCAATTTTGAAACCATGTAATGAATATGACAAAGCATACGAACTGCGTAAACTTAAAAAAAAGCACAAATTGATCCACCTCATATCGCTTAGCAAGTTGGCTGTCAAGATCTGCAGGTCAAGTATTATAACTGTTACATCTATACTGAAAATATGCTAAAATCGAGAATGCCATCGGGCAGGCAGAAGTTAAACTACGAGCACAGCATGCTCAAGTAGTAATGCAGGCGCACGTTGATCCGGCACGATCTCTGACTAAACCATCCATCTGCTAAAAATTTTTAGATATAGAGCAAAATAAAATCGGTACATTTTTTTAGCGGCTACATTATTCTAGAATCGACTGCAAACACTGATGGACGGTATCGCTTAGTTATATGTAACTTAAATGGAATAGCCGCTTAACTGTAACAGATTAAATAATTTAGTTTGCTACATTGTGCAGTGATTACGATTAGTGATACCCAGTGACGGTTGATAGCAGAAGAGCTCTATGACTAATAGAGAGAAATTTCCAATCTCTGCGTTCTGTTTTCAGGCCGATGACAACATTATTACCAACCCTCCCCTGTTTGATCGTCTGCGAACTTGTGCTTCTGCTGTACATGTTCGGACAATAATATACCATGCACAGAAAATAATCAAAACGGGACTAGTGTTTTGCATGCGCTAACCCGATAGGTCGGTGCATCGATGTCTGTAGCAATGGTAATGGGTGGGCACAAGGTAATATGTTCTGTGGTGTTCCGCTACACAATTTTCTTTGTATTTTTTTGTTTTTCCTAAGGTAATGATAAAGGGAACGAACAATTCGGGGTAAGAAGTCATCTGACAAGGCAGTTTGTCTGTCATTTGAAATAGCCGATTCTTATACCGAAAACCATTCTATCCGATTATTTCTGAATGCCATATTAATGTTTCGTTTATATTGTAAAAATAAAAAGAAAAATCGTGCACCAGAAATTAACATTATCTAAGAAGTGCTGCTTGCACTGAAGGTATCCTATTAAGGCGGGGATTATTGATTAATCTGAATTTTTAATGAATTTACTAGTAAAGTTTGTTAAATATTTTTTTTAACATATATGTGTCTACTACTGCTCGACATAATACAGAGCCGGTGTATTTCTAGCTAGTATAAAATTTGAGGGCATGAACAAACATTGTAATGTTCTTTCTTTTTTGCTTTAATTTTAATCATGTATATACGTATACAGAAAGTAAAGTGCAAAGTAAATTTGAGTGTATTCGAAGTGTTTTTTTTTCGTACTTTTCGCTGCCACCAATATCGTTTATCTCTAACGGCCTCGGTGTTAGGTAGATCTCCCTATTGAAATTAAGAACACAACAAAGTTAAGAAATTATCTCTTCTATACCCTAAGATCCAAATATTTTCAGGGTTTATTTCCTTGTTTTGCAGCACACAAAAAATAAATATTTATGTCCAAACTCTTAGTCATTTTGACAACAATGACAGCTTTTGTCTGTTTACAAAAACATGACACGCTCATAGGACCCGACGTTGCTTTATTTTTGCACATTACACTGCACTGCAAAGCAACAGCTGACCCCATTTTCACTATTATTATCGTTATTGTTATGTTTCATATGGATATCAAGCTCGTAAGCTCGAAAATTGACCATGAATAATCAGTCAGCCGCACTCGTGACATGGCAGCACTCACCTGAGCTGGATGTCAACAAAAGGAATAGATAGTATTCGACACAAACGCAACGGGTTTCGCTTCTCACGAGAGCACCTAATCCAGCCTGTCTAACGTCTCCGTAATTCTCCCGCTCAGGTTATATGCGTGTGGCTGACCACTAACGAGAGTAAGGAAGGTTTCATTGCCACGACCTAAAAGTGATTCTCCAGATGTTAACACCTAATGACTGCTAGTAGCTAAAAAGACGGAATTACAAAGCACGACCGCGAAAAAATGCATTACGCAAATATTCATATTCCTAGCTAGAATCTCATGTCATACATCTACGTAAGTAGACATAGATACATCGAAAGCGAGCCGCATGCAGAACCAACTGTGCCATGGATGTATGTAGGGACACGATATGATCGTGTAAAGCATGTTTGTAGAGTTGACACTCTCTCCCTGGAGCGGCCACTAGCTAGCGCCTGTGTAGCGTGAAATCAACAGCTGTTCAGGTTAGCTACCAGCAGCCGCTGCTGTTGGCGTTAGCTCTACTTGTCATGTTCACAAGATCTTGAAGCTTCTGACCAGCCACATAATCATACAAGAATATCGTTTTAACAGCGATGAAAGCGGGTACCTTCCATTACTGCACACTAATGTTTACTTGGTTAACTGTGACTTTCTGACTGATGCAAAGTGTGCTGCCCTCTCTCCTGGCCGGATTCAACCCTAGTGGAACAAGGGGCGCTTGGCTGGGATTGAGTTTCGCCTTAGCTAACCTAACCAATTATTGTCTCTTTAGTGTGATGCTGTATGAGCAGTTCGCTACTACTAGTTTATTTCGTGGAATCATGATACTCGTTGGGCTATCTGTGAACCTGTGCAACCAAATGATTGTGTGTGTGTGTGCTTTTTTCTCTCCTCTCTCCTTATTTCGCACTCTCTTTCCCTCTCACCCTTTTCCTCGCGCTCTTCGTCCAATAACAGATACCTGGTATTAAAGCAAAACGACAGGGAACGACGATCAGCGCGTAACCTGTTGGGAAATTTGAATTTTACCGCCGTCCAGCCAGCGCATTTCATCAGCAATGTTTTAATACCCCAGTTTGTCGTTGAAAGGTGTTGAAAAGTTGCATAAACAAGCAAGCTGTTCGCGAACGAGTTCGCGTATTATGTACAGGCATCGTGTGGTGTTGTTTGAAGTGATAGATGGCTGAGCTTTAGAAAAAAAAATAGAAGAAATCGGCCTCTATAGCTTTTGCTAGTCAATGTTGCATTTGTAAACTCAGTACCGAATTAGTTGAATCTGACGACAAAGGATAAAAGTCGCAAACGAACGTATCGTTCTTCGGTGTCGGATCCCATATGTTTGCACTATCATATGAAATTCGCCTATGATGAGTGATATGACAAGAAAGCCCGTTGGTGCTTTCTAAGCGAGAGAATTCTTAAATAGTGTTTTTGGTAAAATAGTGCCATACAAGAGTAAATACGACGACTAAGAATATGTTGGACTTTCAAGCCGTGGTGCTTGCAGCGGGCAAAGGCAGTCGCATAACAGATCTAGTGGCCAGCGACGAATTTAAATGCAGTATCCAAATTGCAAACAAACCAATGGTAACGACTGAGTCAACAATACCACAGTATTGATTTTTTCAATGCCGCATAGCTAGAAAAAACGTTTCCGTAGCATTTTTCGAAAGTATAAGGATCGTCATCTTCAAAACGTCTTATGGTTTTTTCTATGTTATATAATATTTAGGACTGAGCGCGTTACATCGTAATCATAAATTTAATCCATATAATCAAAGATGTGCCTGTATGATGAAAGAGCATAGGAACCTTTACTTTATCGAAACCTGAATAGCAAGTAAAAATGGACTGAAGATTACGTTGAAGCTGAAGTTTTTTTGAAGCATTTGATATATGATTGTTTCCGTCACCCTATTTCAGCTGTTTTAAACACAAAAAAAGAGCATTGACAAATCGGAAAACAAGCATAATTTAAGGAGGTGTTGTCAAGAAAAAATCACCAGTAACTTGCAACAAATGGGTAAAAAGAATACAAACAGTCGAAGTTGGCATGCAAAAAAAAAGTTAAAAAAAAATAAACCCAGAACTACTTGAAGAATACGCCAAAAAAAGACCCAGACCACACCAAGCCCAAAACTCTATTCAATAACTGATCGTATACGAAAGCAAAGCTTCCAGCAACTCTGATTCTACAAATTGAAGAAAATCCAATTACTGGTTTTGTCTTGAGCACTTGTTATATTATGATTAAGTAGAATTACAAGAAAAATGTTGCAATGTTCAAAGTACATTTTAGATGGTATTCGACCAGACAGAAAACAGAAAACAGAAAAAAAAAAAAAAAAAAGCTGAAACTCACTCTGTGTGATAGCATTATGATTTGTACAACCTGTGTAACATCGAATACTACTTTTCATGGGCTTTTTTTCGTTCGATTTTCTAATGAATCATAGGATAATTATTATCTTGTTATCATTAAAAACGGAGGGTCGTTCTAATGTGGGTATAAAATGAATGGTCTGTACATAATAGAATAGGAACGAGTCTTTCCAGATTGAAGTTTTTGTTGGGAGTTTTTGCATCGTTCTGTAGGTGGCAGCAAATGTGGTGCATACAGAGTCGAGTAAAGGAAAAAGTGTCAATTATTTCGGGCAGTTTGTTTAAAGCTGAAGATTAAGAGGTATCAGAAGAACTTCACTAGCCTTAAAACCGTCTTCTAATAGCGTGGTTGCTACTGCTTTTTCTTTTTCTGTGATGCCACATTTAGTTGTTTTACCCATTGCGGAATCTTCAGAACGCAGGCTTCACCGAAGTAACCGTAATCGTGCCAACAAAGTATAAACCCGACGATACAATAGCTGGTAATTAACGTATTCATATTATCCAATTTAGTGTGTCGTATTATGGTATTATTCTTTTACAATATGTGCGTAAGGAATGGCGGCCATTTCTTAACATGTAAGAAACAAACATATATTAATCTATTTCGATGAGAATACATTACAGCATGTTGTATCTAACTGCTCTTTTAATGCGCTATAGGTGAGTTGCAGTTAAAAATTGATTACGTTTACGTGAACATCGACACCGAGGAACAAGGCACGGCGGAAAGTGTGCGACTAATTAGGGACAAAATTAAGCCGAATAGGCATATATTGCTTGTATGTATCGGTTCCTTAAATCCACATGTATTCAATACCTTTCTTTGCTGGCAAAAAAATGTCTCAACCATACCTTCCTTCGCAATGAAATCATTTTTCGATAAACTAATAGGGGCAGATTGCCATCCATTTGAAACAAAGTCCAGACGCTACTTTTAACTACGATCAATTTAAGCGACAACCTCCTAATCGATAAAGAATTCGTTAGAAATTGTCCAACACAATATTCAATTTCTCATAGGTAAATTATAGAAGTACATAAATATTTGAAACCAACGTATTATCAAGCTATGTTTTCACGCATCCTGTTGCGCACATTTTTCTAGGTGACGTGTGATCTAGTGACGAATATTGATCTTAGCGAACTCTGCGTACGTCAACGGGTCAGTGATGCCCTTTTGACAGCCTTACTAGCACCCCTGCCTCCACAACTTTCGCAGAGCAGCGTGCCTGGTAAGTGTTACCAGGTTAACGTTTGAGTAGCAGAGTTATGATCTTGGGTACATTAACCGATCTTTCGAACTTACGCTATGTGCAATGCCTCTATGGGAAACTGAGTGTTCAAAAGGCGTCTCTTTGTCTTACCATATATATTCGTAAATGCATATAATAGCAAAAAAGAAAGATTTGACTCTACGAAAAAAACATGTTGATTTCAAGTATCTCATATTGCTTTTACGCTCATTAGGAACTCGGAAGAAATACCAACCTGAACGAGACATTGTAGCTCTTGAAACGGAAACTAACCGTCTTCTACAATTCGGGGCGGTGGCAGATTACTCAGAGCGGATTCCCTTTTGCATGAGGATTCTGCGCCAGTTTCCCAATATGCAGGTTTGTAGGAAAATAATTGCTTCCATTATTGCTATAAGGTTCCGTTTGTTGCTATCAATAACAATAAAGTTTATATTTTTCGACTTTGTTTGACCTATAGAACAGCATTATCTAACAGAGTAAAACATGATTCCACGAGGTTAGAATAGTGACAAGATTTACGGTCACTCAAATAGGTTCAAACAAATTTCTGGTAAGGCACTGGGATGATACATTTCATAAAAGGAATACGGTATGTTGAGGTTGCCAAGAGCAAAATGTTGCCTCAAGTACTCGTATGGTTCCTAGACGGTGGCTATATCTTCATGCTCGACAAAGCGACTTGTGACAGAGCTTGGAATACTCATGAACCACTTACTGTCTCTTAATATTCAAACTCTGCCGTGGCCTGCTAATTTTGCAGACCTCAATCTCAGAAAAATCTTAAAATCATAGGCTCGGAAAGGACAAGAAATAATGATTCAGATTTCCGTGGGAAAATCATTAACGTGTGTTAGTAAGATTTGCTCCTAGCTGAGACAGCGAAAAACTGCCTCAGAAGGATACCCGAAAAAGTGGTGGCAGTTATCGATGCAAAAGGAGATACTGATGCTCGCAACTATTCCACATCCATTGACACCGATTTTAAAATGTTTTATCGACATGTGAGGAGAACAATTCCGCTTTCATATGACAGAATATGCTTGAAAATGTCTCGTATTAGTACTGCTCAGTCGACGCTTAAAGTTTAAATTATTTGATAGAGTTTATTTGAGATTACTTGATTGACCATCGACTGCAGAAATATAGTTTTTAACGGAAACATTTACATTGCACACACCTATAACATGCACGTTCCGTGCATATCTAAATTAACCCTCCCTCGAAGCCGAGTGAAATACGATTGGCGCAAGATGGATCGCTTCTTAGTTGGCGTTTATCACTGATATCTCATGTCTCATATTTTTACATATATGTATGATCGTCGTATAACAGGTACACTCCGACCTCCTCGATTGTCACGTATATGCCCTTCACCCTCGGGCTGTAGAGTTTATTATGACGAATAAATTGCTGGCAACATTTAAGGGCGAGGTATTGCCAAAACTCGTGCTGAAGCAGTTTAGTAAGAAGGACCTTAAGGAGCAGAACCGGCCCGATGGAGATAATTTCGACAGTTTAAGGTGGGTACTTTATGAAAGCTGTGTCAATGTGGTGACTCCGGCGTATGCTAAGAAAGTCCCTGGCATATTTAAAATGTAATAGAATATAATTTTTTTTTTTGCAAAACGGCACTTCGTCAGCCAGCAGATTATCAGGCTTTATTTGTATACCCACGCAAGTTATCAATAGGAATAATAATATATTTTGGCTTCAATATATGTGGTTACGCTTTGTGTGCCGTATACATTTTACTGCTAGATTATTTTAGTTGATGCATGATAGGCGCCCGGAATCAACACAATATCGAAAAATCTTGTAATCTCTTTGTTTGCTATCCTTTTATAGGTGTTATGCTCTAGTATCGAAATGTTTTGCTCTAAGGGTTAACAACCTGCAAGCGTACAAGGTTGCCAATGGCGAGGTGCAGAATATCTTCAAGGAGCTATACCGCCCGGGCGCGAATGTATCGAAGGATGAGGCCCAACCATGGCCTAGAGATAAAGTGAATAAGAATGTGCTGGGTGCAAGAGTGACGATTGGCCAGGGCTGTAAGGTTTGTACTGGTTTTGCTTAAGGATTTCATTACACACGACCACAGACGTTGACCCTCGATTCTGATACTAAATTGTATCTTGTCACACTAGAGAACTGATTAGGGATAAGCCAGAATCCATTTATTTTTAGTTTTAATGTAATTTCTATTTACATTTTCAACATTTCATTACTACACACAGTTTCTTATTTGTTTTTAAATCTCAGACAGCTAACAATAGGCAGCTCTAGGTGAAGCTTATATGCTATACTAGGCTTCCAACTGTTGTCAATTGTTCGAACATGAAGCTAACAGGTGTAACCTTTTACCTTACGATTTTGTTTTCCAATTATGCTGTCGCCCGTTTCGCTATTTAGGTTACGTCATCTGTTTTGCATGATGATGTCAAAATTAGCGATGACGCAATGGTGATTAATTCGATTATTTGTCGCGGATGTGTCATCGGGGCAAAGGCGAGCGTGGTGAATTCGTTTATCGGAGTCCGGGCCATAATTCCCGAGGGCCGAGTTGTTAATAATGAAAGTATCGGCATATCAAATATGGAATTTGAATAAATGATCAAGCATTAATACGACAAAAATTTCTCGTTTTCGAAGTCGAAGTTTCGAAGTTTTGATTCGAGTGTTTCTTGTTTTGCATCAGATTAGCAGGAGGTGTTTCTGATGAACGTCTGTATGAAAATTGACAACAATTGAATCGTGTTTTGTCGTTATTAATATATAAAGCAAATTTGATAAATTTATTTGATGACTTTAAGTACATCTATATGCACATCCTGTATTGTTAGTACAACAGTTTTAAGCTTTTGATCAACGTGTTCGTCTGCCTAATACAGAAAGTTCTCAAAAATTTTTTTCTCACACAGGACCGGGTGAACGATAGGCTAATCGCATCGTAGTGCTGAATGAGTAGATAATATAACAACAAAATTTTTCTTCCTTTGAAGTGTTGTGGGAACAGGCTGTCCAGTCAGTACATCAATTTGATAAAAATAATAGCTATTAATTACTGATCTATGTAGAAACCTATGGAACCTAATTAAAACTATGCACGCAAGCGGGATAGTACTGTTACAACCATTTTACTGTGTAATAGAAAAACAACAGCTAGAATATCGCGTCTGCTCGTTGTCGTGATGGACCACCAAAAAAACTTATTCCAACGGTTTGTTCAGCTGTCTAGGATAATATTCTTTAATGTCACCATCAGTGGAGCTGAGTGTGTCTGACTTCAACATCGATATCCTGGCCAGCTCCTTTAGCTCGGCTAGTTCTTAACGGTGATAAAGTCCTATCTGCTGTTTTCTACAGACAAAAAAGAAAGCAAGATTTTTCTTTCCGGCACACGATAATAGATATCAACTTTTTTCTGCATTTTTTCATGCGCTGATCAGCGGCGGGGGAACCTGCAACTGTTCCCAGACAGTACGTTAAGCGCATCGTCTAAAACACTAGTAAAATCGATGTCAGCTTAAATCGTCCATTTAAAAATCCTAATTCAAGCGGACCAGTTGATAATGGCTCGGTATGTTGCACCGCGTATATACTAAGCTTACCTATTCTTCTAGAATCTATTAGTAAGAGTGTAAAAGAACATGCAGTTTTAATATGTAGTGGCAAAATGCAGCAAAAAGTGCAGAGAAGATGCAACGAACTGGTTGAAAAAAAAGACATTGTTCATTGTACTCTGGAAAAATTATGAATCAAATTGCGGTAGCAATTATTTAGTCAGTGTTCGAAGAGCAAATACGATAGAATTTTCACGGCGAAAGCTTGTAAATTGATATTTGGAAATTTTCACAAATTTCATATAGTTTTTAGAAGAAAACTACATAACTGGTACTGACTTGATTCAACCTCACATGCTGAAAAGAAGTATACAAAAATGATGACAGGAGAGAAAGTCGGCTCGAAGATCTTACCCGTCTCTAAGGGCATTTCCGTTGCTAAGCTGTGCGCTTAAAACTAGAGATTCAAGATTTACAAAAATTGGTAAAATTCAACATTTTGATAGGCATCAATATTATGAAGCTCTTATCGCCAAACCCGAACTAACAAGTGCCAATTAGCTTTCCCTAAAGCTCCTAAAGCAGCAAGTATTTTTTTAAATTAGACTATATCCCTTTCGCCGCTTCCTTCCACTAGACGTGGAACGATAATGGAAGCGGCTACATTCTAGAATCATTTCGTCTACGTTTTCTACTTAATAGTAGCGAAATATATCTGCGCAGGAGCGCATATTTGACATATATCAGTCCACTTATGTAGAGTCAGTTTCTATGCACATATTATGGATCCGTTGAATTTGTGTACCACTAATTCAAGTCTGTTTCAACGAGTGCTTGGCTCACCAGAGAACAGACTATGAACGACAAGCAAGTCAGCATGATGTAAAGTACGTTGACCTAAGATACATGCGCTCTTCACCTCCGTCAATACAGTGAAGCTGTTCTATACTTAGAGCCGTAACTGTTTAAGTTACCATCTGCTATTAACCAACGAAGCTGATCTGTCAAACCACAAGTAATTAGATGCAAACAACGTTAATAAAAATAAGCTAGATATTAAAAAGAAAAGTTGGCTTGTTCACACAGTATCGAAAATCAGTCTCTTCACGACCAAGATTTTATAGTTACCGCAACAAGTGTTTTGAATAACTAATCTTTCGATTTGTGCATGCTCCAAAGCACGGAACTTAAGTAAGTATTTTTATATAAATTATAAATTTTAGAAAGTAGCTTAATAGATCATTGCACATTTACTGTCGTTTGTGTGGGTAAATAAAGAGATTCATCGTCAACAACTTCTCAATGAACAGTGAAACCTCTAATGCAATTGTTCGTGAGAACAAGATTTCTGTCGTTTTGAGTAAAACAAAATAACGAGATTAAGTTTCGATTATATTTTGCTTGACATGATGTACGCGTCTAGAAAGTTTGCAGACGTTGGTAAATATTAGGGTTAATTATTTTTGGAATAGGATTGTCCTTGGGTGCTCCTTAATGGTAGTAATTCTCAAATAAATGTATTCAAACAATTATAAATTCGAATTGATTTCTGAATTTCCGAATTTAACAGTTAGGACAGCGAATCGGTAAAATATGTTCATCGTATATAAAAGTTAACAAAACCAATTCTTGAATAAAAATTATGATCATGCCTATTCTATGATGACCGGGTATAGATGTCTACGTGCGACATCTGACATCATTATCTAATGGCCCATGTTTTTGCTTGTCGTTTTTTACGTTTATTCGTAATCTTAATTATCAAAAGCTTCGTTTAATGTATAGTGGTGTAGGAAAATTCGATCAGATTGTTAGCTAAACAACATATTGACAACGCTATCATTGTTTATGTATTCGTAATTAGTGATCTTATTTTTGGTCTACTAATTCAGCCCAGAAATGTAACAGCATTTGTAAGCGCCAAGCGCTGCCGTGTCAGCAGTATAATGGATGCGTGTAGACGACCTCTGCATGCAGTTTTGCAGTAGAAACTTAATTTAAAATCTCGCGCGTCTTTTCCGAAGCGTTGTATACTGTACATATTGATTCGTGTAGCAAAGAAACGGACCACGGTGCGGGTAGTATGCGAAAAGTTGCGTCCTTCTTTTCTGAAAAAAGTGCGATTGATTAATATGATCTCTTTGGGATACAAACTATCATCCCTTTAGTATTAGCGCCACTAATAAAAAAGTTCGTTTATAAGTTAAGATGAAGATGTCAAAGGTTAATTAACTACTAACTAGCTAAGGGTAGCGTAATTTGGCAGCCTTTGCTAACCTAAACTGACAGCCTAGATTATACAAGACAACAAGTAGACCACCCTTGATGATACGTAGCTTGCTTAATTTAAGACAATGTTGGTAAGCGGACCACTCGAGTTTTTAAAGGAACCAATTTACTCTAAAAATATAATATGTACGTTTTCGATCTTTTTGTTGATAATAGAGAATTCCGCTGAGGGTTGTCAAACAGTTTCGTCAAACGTGACCGATATTTAGAGAGTTGCGAGCCATTTAACGGTACGTAAAATAATACAATTTTCGCGGGTTAATTTCAACTTTTCCTCTGAAGATGTTGTAACTTACTCATCACAGCTGTAGTGCGCGGACGTACTGGCTCATCTACTTTTCTACAATCGAACAGTAGAGGATTTTACGCCAGCAATTATTGTAGTTTATAAGCAACGATTGTAGTTTATAAACCCACTAACTCAATTTATATCGTAAATTATATAGCCTATCGTTATATGTTCGTTTTACGGACGTTGCAGGAAAATGTCATTAATCGGAGTAAATCGCAAATTAAAACCGTTACTTGAATAAATAGCTGCATATCAGAGAAACAATATTGTATATAAAATTTGAGGGAAAGAATTACAAGAAAATCTGCTTCAAGATGCATTCCCTTTGCGTATCTCAGCTGTGAAACATATGATCGACAAGCCTAGACGTACAAAGACGGCAAAACTCATCAAAAAATGCTTATGGGCTCTGAAGGCGCTAAACCTGTTAAGCAATTGCCCTAACGTAATGATAGGTCGACTGAACTCTTAAAAAGAGTAGGACTCATCACGTTCTATCCAACTATTAAAGCAATATTGATATGCACTAGCTAACTGTTTAGCGATTACCGCTATCAGTTATAAATTTGACCCAGGGTAGCGAACTAGGGTAGCAAAGTGCAGTCCTTTTTTTTCAATGCAAGCTAAGTGCTAAAATTCAACACAGTCATGCTCTAAATCTTAGCTAGTTGTCCATCTCGATTCGCTGCTGATCTTGCACTCCACAGAGACAGCTCGCCTACATAAACTAACCAGATTGATAGCAGGATTCAACTAGTCTCGTGAGTTCGACAAGCCATATCAGTCAATTAGCGTAACTATAAGAAATGTGACTTCGGGCAACTCGATCCCGAGGCGGCATTTTAACCGGTTGGTTTACGAAGAAATAGAATGTAATATAAGGAACAAGCAAAACACTGAGATATGAGACGTCATGAATTCAATCGCTATACATGGAATACCCGAGCTGTTTCTTGTACTGCCATCGTTGGATAACAGATGCTTTTGTGGCGACTCACAAGTGGCCATATAGCCTCGTCCAATAAGGTTTACCTGACCATATATTTCAAATATTCGAGAAAGCACTAAGTATGTCGTTATGGTATTGGCGGCACACTGATAATTAATCATCAGTCTTAAAGCGTCGACCGATCATAACAACATGTCTGGAAAACTAACGAACTAGCAATCTTCATTGTATCGTAGATTTAGTGGCATCAAAATACCTAACAGCTATATTGTCTAGACGTTTGCAATGAAATAGCTGGGTCTAAAGAACTCTTTCTCATGGATGGCCTGAAATAATGCGAGCTGTTATCTTCGGAGGAATGTTATTAGACACTACCAAATAAGATCCACTGAGGTGTTTTACTGTATTAATTCGAAAGAAAAGCTTCTCTACATCTTCCAATATTTGTTCCTAGGTCAGATATAATAAAATATATTTTATTTGACAGAATAACATAACTGGAAATGATCGAACAAAGGTGAAAATTCTATTCCAGAACTTGCATCGCAGATGTAAGTTCAGGGATAGAATCGCGCAGATGGTAACTAAACCCTGTGGACACTGAGGATATCGCACAGCTTCAACTTCTTTCAATAGCAGATAGTTTTAAGTTGTAAGAGCTTCTAACAGTTGGAATACTTTTATTTCGGCCATGCTGTCCTACTTTCCCATTCTATCACAGCCTCTTCAACAACTTACTCGTAAAACACTGTGCCGAGCAATTTGACGCAAACGTGAATAAACTGTGTAACGCATAACTAATAATTGGGTAACTCGTTAGGTGAGGTGTTGAGCATGACGCTCTCTGCACGATTATATTATTCAAGAGCTGGGGAAGGCTGCTGTGGTACCGTTTCAACCACAATTCAGTTTGTACACGACCAGAATTTTTTGGAGATAGCGTCGACTTTTTCCAAGCATCTCTAAAAACTGTTACCCATTTTATGAATCGATAATAGATCTGAATGGAAATAATTATTTACTGCTGACGCAGGGCAAGCAGCTCACGAACTTGGCCACTAATAGAAAATTGAGCCAAACCGCCATCTGAGCAATCACGCAAATTTTGCGCAAGTACGCAAATTTTGAGTAAGCAAATACCAAATGCTGTGGTTTAGCTAGTTAGTGCTAAAAAACAGATCTAGATTCTACTGACGATTAACTGTTTGTACGCAGAAAATGAAAATCATGACGGTACAATGAAACGAAGATTTTGGAAGAAGACTAAAATAAAAACCTGATCCCGAACTCAGGTAAAACCAGGCCTGCTTTAGATCTCAGGTGCAGGAAACTATATGTCAAACTCGAATATCTGAATACCACGTGTCGAAATATTCATAGTGTGAAAAAATGCATGGTGGATAACGTCTTCGAACGAGTAAATGGTACCGTTATAATGTGTGAATTATAATTATTTATAGTACACTTTTCAAGTAAAAATTATCTTAGACAGTATTTCGTTTTTCTAAATTGAACTTTTTGGGCGAAATCAGGCTTAAGGCTAAGTTACAAATGTTAGATATGACAATTATATGTAGCACAGTTTGTTCTCATTTATTCACTTGTTTTTTGAAAATATTTATTTTAATAGATCTGTAAGCACAACTCACGGAATTCATCTCTATCGCAGATCGTAAAATAAACCGTACTATATCTTGTTTTTATCTCTATGCCTTAGCTACCAAATTGCTTGCACAACGCTATACATGCTCACAACCAGCCGTAAATCAAGTACGGTCAATTCTCTGCGCGGAGCTTTCAATAAATCACAACGCTTACGTGGTTGACACGATGTTAAATCTATGTTTTGTTTTCAAGTTAACGCTGCAAACTCATATACGCAATACATTTGCCGTATTGATATGCGCTCTTCGCCAAACTACGTTTATAACATAACCGCGTCCACGTCATTAATGATAAATAATAACATAAAGAACAACGATTAATCTTCGTAAGTCTAGTGAATACAAAATACTCCGTTTTCTTCAATCTTCCTTCGCTCACATAGGCCCTAGACTATCATTGCCATAAAATGGGAAGCCTAAACTGATTACACGAAAGCCCTTTTCACCCCAAGCGAAGGACGCGATGTTTTCGGTAACGCAACTCTATCCAACTTCAATTTACCCATCAGTGTTGCCCTGGCAAAAACCTGCAGCTTTACACGGGCAATTTTCCGATGTGATGGATGCTTTCATTAAGGTTCGCGCACCTCTTGTAAAGCCAGCAGTTTACTGGACAAGTCAATCGTCCAGAATAGAAAATACTTCAGGATCTCTTTAAGCCGTAAGGAGCTTTTTCGACTAGTAAATTTAGCTGTTACTAGTTCTCAGGGTTCGGCAAGCTGGAATGCCCAATCAACACTGTCGAGCAGAATCGACAATAAGACGGCACCTATTTCAGATCGACGCTACATAAAGCACAACCTCGTTTTTTTTTTTAAAATTTCCTAGCAAACAATACATTTATTAAGACACAACGAAGCATCAACTGACAGGAACATTGTGTACAGTAACTAAAGAAAGCGACTCGATTTTAGTAACGACTGCGAAACAGGAGCTAGGCGATTAGCAGATCGTAATTATGCTGTAAATTCCGCAACGTTTACATAGAAAAGTGAGTTATGTTGAATATGAGCAAGAAAAATGGGCGTCGGCTTGGCGAATTTTCTGCGCTGAAACGCGTTGCCTTCGGCCACTATCCAAAACAATGGAAAAATATGTTTGATGTTAGAGAAATCAGGTAACTTTTTTAGAGCTGCTACGCGTATAATCAGACGGAACACTTGAACTAGTCACTCAGCGCTTAGCTATTTGATTTTTCATTCTTGATTGGGCGTTGAACGTCGAACAGTATAGGCTGTTCAATAAAGCTGTATAAGCTATAAACGACTGTCATATTGCATCTGCCCTTTGGGGCGGGCCTAGCTTAAACGGCTTCTTATCTTCAACTAAAAATTAATCCTATGACTGTATCAGATTCCACATTTGGTATAGCAAAACAGGTAACACCAGATAAACGCGGACGCTTATTGGGAGTTTCGCCAAGAACCTTGGTACCAAAATTAAACACCATTTCACTATTCAAACAGAACAGCAAAAAGCTTTATGTATTTAAAATGCATATTTGCCAGCAGAGACAAACTGGGTATGCGTTAGACCAAAAAAAGATCGGATTTGAATGACTCGTATATATATTTCCAGCTATGAAGAAATATTTGACAATAGAATCCACCGTAAAGAATTTAGGCATGAAATACAAAATATGACATTCACCCAGAATATTATGCAGATGAAAGCTGTTTCTGCGCTTACGAATATATAACTAATCATGCATCAGTGCTGGTGTGATCCTAAGAAATTAGATATATGCCCTTGTTTTAACTATTATTGTATTGAAAAAGTATTGACTCTTTCAAAGTCAACAGTGAAGCAAATATTTGTTACATTATAAAGTGATACCAGTAAACTAAGTATGCGCCATCATTGATCGATGACCTTCTGTCGGTAACAGAGTGATAGTCCTATCACTGTAAAGCTTTTGTGTATTATAAGCGAAAGATTGCAGCGTATGATTTTTGCATCTCCGTGTCAAAACTAAATTAAGCGAGCTTTGCAAAAACTGATACAGGTGGTAGTCTGCTAATGCCAGGTCGGGGATATACGGTTAATGCATTAAAATTTTCCATATAAGTTCCTTTAACTTTTGCAAGTTTTAACAGTTTTACCAGATACGTAAGACAACACAACTAGCTTTACTTTAGATTAAATAGGACATTATTTTCTATTTGCACGATATATTGTGATCCAACTCCCATCTATTCTATTTCGCTATATTTATACATATAGCACACATATGTATATATAGAGAGAGTGAGAGAGAAGGTTTTTCAGGCGAACATACGGTCCAGTAAATTTGCTTGTATCAATCTGTGTAGCACTCAGACATCAAACCTTTTTTTTAGCCAGCTTTCTTCAAATAGATGTTTAGTCCAATACTTAACGTTCGCAATAATTTCATCAGCTTTTTTGGTAACTGGTCGATCATTATGAGGCACATCTTTCACATCGAAAATTCTAGAACGACAGTCACAGAATCATCTTTAGGTCGTTTGTTCTAACAACGCATCTCGATCGCAAATCAGGAAAATATTTTTATAGGCCCGGGCAGCATTGTTATCTTTATCGTTATAGAAGTGTAATATATAACGTATTTTTGCAGTTTTTTATTCATTCTCAACGAAGGCATTCTAACAATTTTAGCGCTCTATTATAGCGCAGATATTACCTTTCAGATGATATTTCAGCATCGACCTGAGGCGATTCACACTACCTGACGTACGCGATTTTTGAGACCATATAAATAGGTATACGATCAATCTTTTTTAAACAACACCGTATTGTCGTTGTTATTATATTATAGCTAATTATTGTTATTATAATAATTAGTAATTATTGTTATTATAGCTAAGATATTAAGGAAACAAACTGATCAGTAAATGACATCCATTAGTTGAAAATAGCGATTTATTAGGAGAAAAATTAATAATGGTGCCTGTTGCAACAAATGGATCATATACACAAGTACTTTATTGACATTGAGACACTTGTGGAACATTTGCCCCATCAACCCCATATTCGATGTGTACACCACGCGCCACATTTATGGCTTTATTAATGAACATATGATCTATACAATAGAAATAAACTCATTTCATTTTTAGCAAATTACATTTTCTGCTGCAGGATCAATACGTTTTAACGGAATCTACTTCGTCTAATTTGCGTAAGTGTCCTGGAACTGATAATAGCTGGAAGCACTTAGCTACCATTTGTGCATTTGTGCATTCCTCTTCGATCGAATGAGGCGATGCTCCTGTCTCCCATGAGTCAAAATCATTTAGGTGCCTTTGAGCGCAAATGAGGCTCATATAAGGACCTTAACTAACAAGACGAACAATTTTGAAATTTTAGTACTCCTCAGCCTATCGCTAGTCAAAGAACTGGAACCGTATTTATAGCCGTTATTGAAATTATGAATCTACCACATATTCATTGATACCTTTCGTTTATGTCTCCTTCAGGTAACTACAGCATTCATTATACCAAATGGTAGATACGCAGCCGTAATGACTAGCGCTATTGTAGATTTCTGTGTTAATTCGTATATTCAATTTCCCTCATTGTTCCTACTATTTATATCTTTATAATGTTTAACATTTACGCTGGTTAGGTACCTTTACATGTCTCCCGTACGTCCTGTTGGCGTGTAAATCACGCTTAGACAAGTTATAGTTGTCTGATCCCTTGCCACATCATATAGATGCATGTTGTTTTTAGTTCACACAGTTTGTGTAAATATTGGGCACACATATAAAGTAGTTTTTCCAGCCTTTTCTCGTCGTTAGCATTATCTTATTGTTAAATCTATTAATTGTTACTTTATTATTTGCTTGAAGTAAACTTCAATCGTATCTATTAATTCAGTTAGTCCTTCTGGCATACAGTCCTAAAGTATTTGTACACTTAGGAAATAATAGAACCAAATGGCATGTACCTGTATTTTCACAACCTCTTACCTTTTACAGCCTATTTTACGTGCGTTCAATTTAGTTCGATGGCTGCTTTGATTTTTTCTTAACTTACCTACATTATGCCTATTATTTACATGTGCACTTTAAATCCCCGGCTCTTATAAAAGCTTTAAGAGATCCATATAATCATAGTTCTTTTATAGACATTTAGTCCCAATACCAAAACACAAAAACTGATTATTTATTGCCCCATTGTGTTGCCTGTCTCTCGTGCACGCAGCCTTTCCTAAGGCTCTTGTTTAGTACAAACATATATATACCTTCAACTTCCCTGCTTCAGTCTACTGTAATGTTTCCGCTATATATTTATATATATATATATAAAATGTCATAAGATCATGATATTTGTAGCCAGTATTGAGCTCAATTAGTAGAACTGTATATATATATATATATATATATATATATATATATATATATATATATAACATTTTTTTTTGATCCTGCTTCCTGATGTGTAATTGATTTGTTGAAAGTAATAATAACAATACAACTAAATTAGCTAAGCCCAACAGTGTAAGAATTGAAAAAATCCTAACCCATAAAATTCTTACCGACGGTTGTGTACTCATAAAACTGGCGAGATCTTGCTACCATCAAATCTTTTGGAAGTATCGAGACAGCCAATCGTAACGATTGGCTGTGTAGATTCTTGACCCACGAAAAACACTGGCTCAACTTTTTGCGTATAGCAGGCCCGATACGACCAACAAATAAAAAACAGTAACGCAGTAAAATGTAGCAATTTTTAACATCTCTGTAGACTACTGGGTAAAATGCCGGGCGCTGGTACCCGTAGCTGGCCTTCGGAACTTTCTACCGGACACGTGGTTGATTGGTAACCACTATTCGTGTTGTCGAGGAGTGGTCGACCGGCACCTGATGAAGAGTTTGGTGCTGCAAACCGTCGATATTGTTCGGTATTATTGTGCCGACTTGACGGATCTGATGGATTGAAACGATCTTTCGGGGTCAACGTGTTTCCCAACCGAAATAGTCTTTTTTTAGCGTTGAGTACTGGCAGGCGAGATTCAGGCGTATCCCCCCATAGGTCCGGTATAATACTAGCGAACTGCCGCGTCGTCTGTAATTAGAACGTGTAAGAAAATTCTTACTGAAGGATTTCATGTGTACCCTATCAAGTAGATGTACATTAGATATTTTAGTCTGGACAGCCGATGTGACATGTTGGTTGAGTTAAGATCATCGGTATTTCTCGGAGGCTTTGCAGAAACAGACTACTATTATTACTGTTATGTAATGTAAAGGTCATAAATGTTACTATTATGAGCACCTAGGTCAGGAAATAGGTATATGTAGTTGTATTCACCGTTTAACAAATCACATAAATAGATAAATAGTTGCTAGTATTACCTCGTTATCCTTCCACGCATCGGGTATATGTGGTCGCTCTTTAGAAATGCACACGACCTTGCGCATCTCCTCAAAGCTAGGATCATCTGGTACACAGTCATGGTAAGGTATACGGTAGGGTGCCTTTTGGTCAACAGTTGGAAGTTTAATCCGCGTACCGATCTCCCAAAGTACCAAACCAAATGAGTACATATCTGCCCGAAGGTATGAGTCAAAATGGCTCTTTTTTAATGTTTCTGACAGAACCTCAGGCGCCATGTACCGTTTAGTACCAGCACGGGTGTTCTGGCAACCGACATTAACCTGATTTGAGTTCATGTCAGAACGAACAGCTAGGCCAAAATCAGCAATACAGCACGTCCCGTCCCTGTTTTTTACAAGGATGTTTTTCGACTTAATATCGCGATGAGCTACCTTCGGCTTTTCCTGCTTGCCACGAATCTCAGTATGCAGATGTTCCAGGCCACTGCAAATTGTATAGGCCATTTCTATGGCCTGGTCTTTCTCGAGCCAACGGTGTGAGAGATAGTCGTAGAGCGAGCCATGTTCGTGGAAATTCGTGATTAAGAGAAGCTGGGTTACTCCGCGATGGCCGCGTATATCGGCTGCAATAAAACCAAGTATATTGTCGTGGCGAAGCAGGGTTGTCTGGTAGATTTCCACCTCGCGGCACCACGAGGGCTCTTCCGTTGAGTTGAAGACTTTGCAGGCGACGTATTCGCCTTTCCACAACGCACGGTAAACTTCGCCGTAGCGGCCTTTGCCAATCGGACAGTCTAAGTCGATCTGACGTCCAATGGTGCGTTGAATCATTTTCGGAAGGCCGGAACCACTTCCGCTGGTGATACTGCAGTCGATTAGTTCTTGAAGCGTTTTGGAATCATTGGTACTCAAAAAAGGGTGCCCGTTCTCCGCACACCAAGATTTTCGTTTTTTCCGGCTGCAGTGCAAGATTATATAGACCAGCCCGATGAATACGAGGCAGGTTCCTAGACCTGCTCCAAAAATGATCAAGTGCAAAGTGTCCGTAAACAGCTTCTTCTCTTCAGGTTCGTAGCCCTTGTGTCGAATCACGTCAAGTTTCAACTTGTAATTGCACATGTCGGCGTCCGAGCAACACTGGATATTCATTGGAGCCTGTAAATAATAACATATTTGGATTTTGATATTCTAGATGATATCACAATTAACACATTAGGCATTGTCGCTTCAATCCTAAAAAGGAGCCATCTTTTCAGATGAAGTAGATTCGACCTAATTGACGATAGTGTTAAGAAGCTCGCTTCTAGCCAATGTTGATTTAGGGTCATAGGAAAACCCTGTCAGCTGGCTTGCCCGACTCAAAGACTAGCTTTGAGTCAATTAGACCAATCAGTTTCGTGACTGAGACGCTCACCTTTTGTTTTGTTAGATGAATTTTACAGGTAAGAATCGAAGAATCCCCTTCCACGCAGCCGTATGTGCTCTCGATTTCAAGCTTATCCGTACGCTCATTGTAGACTTCCTGTACGTGGTGGAAGCATACGGATCCTGGTTCGTCCGCTCTGCACGTCTGATTGGTCCGATGGTCAGGGCATTCGCCATTACAGTAACATTCAATCGCCTTAGAGCCTAAGATCAAATAAGACAGCACAACAAATTTCAAAGCTATAATAACAGAAGAAAAAAGTCAACGACTGCATAGGGATCATTATTTCCACTCTTTAGAACTTCAAATAAGCTCTAGCAAATTAGGAATCAACCTCAGCTTTGACTCCAACTGTCGTCCTACCTTTAGCTAATCCTCACCAAATATTTCACGTTTGCTTAACGTTTATAGGTCTTGAAAAATACAACCGTGTATTGACCTATCCTACAATAGATACCCCGTTGATTTTTTTCGGCTTGTGCTAACAAAGAAACACTTAGTAACAACTCTACAGAAGCTAGCATCCCGAAAACGCTGGGTTCCAAGGAGATTTATCGGCCAGTTTCCATGCACAGCAACTTGCGTTGCCGGAAGTATGAGCTCTTCGCGCTCTTTGGACTCTGACCGGGCGAAAAGTAAAAAAAAACGCAGAATTACTGTCGCCACGCTTAGGGCTTCCTATCCGAAAATATAAAAGCTATTTCTCCAGGATGCATGTACTAGTGTGCTCTATATGCATGCACCAACAACCCTAATGGTTCTGCAGCGAATGTCACCGTCTCCGATGAGAGTTTAATATGTTTGCTTGATGATGACAGTGAAATAAAAGCTACGATAACAGAAAGTGGTAATTCACGACTCTAAACCGCTAATCGATGATAACAGTATTTAGAGAAAAGGTTAGGACTAAAAAAATCAGAAAACAAAAAAATAATAAAAAGCAATTTGTGGAACACTGTTGGGTGAGATTCGGATATTATGTCCGGAAATTTACTATAATTATTATAATTATATATAATATTCAATGACCGTTGTTTTTTTAATTGGGTGATTGAAACATTAGCTTTAGTTTAAATTGATGCAATATTCTAAAGCCACTTCTATTCATGTGCGTGTGATGTCCCATTGAAGGGAAAAAAATTGATTGTTCTTTAACAATTGAGCCACATTCACATACACGGATTTATAACAAATATTAATTGAACGAGACCACAATGATTCTGATGCGTCTCTGAAACATATTAGATATTCTGGAGAAATCAACATATTTTAGGTGTCTTAAGACAATGTGACACGGAATTATTATTCATATATAGTTGACAGTACTTCCTTTCTACATAAAATATCAAACAATCATACACATCCAAGCACGACCATGAACGATACAATGTATGTTAAACACAAATCAGAGGGCAATGTTCCTAGTTCTTTATTTGATGTTATTCATAGCTGAGTGAATAAATTTAAAAATTTGGATTCACGAACATGCTTGGGTTCTCACGCATCTAAAAAGCCCACACTAACGATTCTAAGCCGCTGACAGGAAACGATATATTCTCAATGCCGCAAATCTTTGCTGCCCTAATTTATGAAAATGCTTGTTTTATGACCGTACTCCTGTATGAACAACTGCATTTTTTTTTTCACAACATTTCTGCATGAACAACTATTAAAACTACGCTTAGAACATGATAACACGTTTTCGACTCATGTGTACTTATATCAAAAATGATTCCGATCTTGAACAATAGATTTCTCAACTGACCAATACTTGATCGAGTTTGATTGACTCCATTGTTTTGGGTGTTCGACGTCTCTGAGAAGTTCATGGGTGGCGTTCGATTACGATATAGTAAATAGCTCTCTTTACCAATTTTATGAACATGCGTTGTATAGATAATGAAAATAATCCGACTTATTTTTAACTAAGCAACTTCAACAATACAAATCTTTGGAAACTGGCATGGAAAAGCAGAGATATCTTACCTATTATGCATGCAGTGGCCAAGAGAATGATTGTGAGAGGTAGACTTGTAAATAGCTGTTTTGCAGAAAGCGCGATCATTAAAATGCTATCGGAAGCACCCTTCTGTTTTTTCTTGTTAACTGTTATCGTCGATGCACTAGTGCTATTCATTGCGACAGATGCGGACTTCAACGTAGTTTTTGAATAATCCATAGTTTTGTCCATTCTACATGTTTTTCGTAAGTGAAAGCAATACATTTGCTTTACTTGTTTGCCCATTTGGTTTGTATTCATGTGAGTGATTTCGGCCACTTCGGTTATCGATGTCACGTTTAAAACTGGCATAGCCGTCGTAGCGTCCTCTTCTTTCATGTTGACGCTGATGAGGTAAAAGACACTCACCACCGAATTAATACTAAGATCGATCGGATCGAAGTTTATCACCTGTCTATGTCATGCCAATATTCGCTTGCGTTAGCCAAGTACACCTGATACGACCACTTTTTCAGTTGATAACGAATTCATCTCAACATAGTGACACCGATAGCCCATAGGTAAACGAATGATGATCGCAGTAACCTTCCAATGGTTTCGTACACTCGATCAACCTAACATCAAACAGCAGGTTCTGTTTGTCTGCCTGTTTTCACCTACGAACAGTTTACACCATCGTCACAAAAACAACATGTACAATGACAACAGGGTCCACTCAATCGATATCTATCACACCTCCATGAACTTATCACCTCCGTTGCACTCTAATAAACACAAAAATCTACACTCGTCAGATCTTGGATCACCTTTATCAAACACAACACCTGTTGCTGTGTTCTGCTGAAATCAATGGTCCCGCAGCCGAAGACGCTGTGCGTTGATGGCCTGCCGGAACTATCACTGCGTCTTAAAGGAGGCGAAAAGAAAACGCTCAGGACAGTGTATCCGTTGACACTCCTTTTGGCCTCCCGCACTAACTTTCCCCTAGGAACTACAACAATACCCCAAGCGACATCGAGTCTCGATAAGATACGACTGCTGCGAAAAACGGCGAATAGAATCGCTCTTGTTTTTTTTTTCTGTGTCCCGACTGCGTCGTACGGCAGATAATTGCCAAAGCCAATGGCCCTGCGTCCGTTCTTTTAATTTTCACCCTCGTTGCTTTTGGTTACAAAACCGCCCACGCTTTTTGGTGTTGATGCCGCTGCTGCTACCAAACATCAACACGACGTTCTGGTGCTAGAAGCAACGCTGGTTGCGGCCAACTCTCCGCCGATCACTCTGTGAACGCACTACGAATGTTATTCTTGCATGGACTACTACGGTCTTCTCTTTTATCAGTAACTATACGCATACACACGTATACACGCCTGTATATATGGATACATGTGTGAATACATATGTTTACCAATAACTGTTACTGCCGCTGCCGCCAAATAGGCGCCAGTGTGGTGCGCCCCAGCCAATGAGTGTGATTCTGCTGTTCGACCCGAGAGTCTGCACCGTCAGTTCGCAAACGGGTTCGTGAGCAACAGGCGCGTAAGCTGTTGGTCGAACGAATGAATAGCCGATCATCAAAGTCTTTGCTCTTGAACGCCCGCATGTAGCACAGCGCAGTACTGGGTTTGTTGCTCGGCTACGTTGTTGGCTGAATGCGGGTGCCGATATTCTTGGCTGGTTGTTTTTTGGTCTTCCCTTCGCTCAGTTCCGTTTAAGCGACCTTTTCTTCACAAGTTCTGCTCCCCATTCTCGGCTCGAATGGATCTGGTTCTCTGACCGGACCTTGCGATGCTGTTGCTGCTGACGCAAGTATTACTCACTTAAGTTGTTACTACGGCATTAGGAGTCGGTTTTTTGCTACAGTCGTTATTGTGAGCTGTCGTCTATACAGAAATATGGTGGCAACGATGATCTCTTACCGATTAATTTAGCTATCGCGTACATGAACTCGTTACAGTGTTGTCACTGTACTCCTGCTGTATTTTCATACTTCCAATAACACCATAAAACGCATCTTCTCAGTCCATTCATTTCATTCTGAAAAGCACGAACAATCAGAGCATTATAATCTGTTAAACTTCATAGCTTTTTTATGCATAAATTTCGGCGGTGCAGCATTTAGGATTAGAATCGTACCATATACGACATTTGCCACATTAATAAATGCTTTAGTCTTTACTGATTCATGGCGGGCTAACTTTTCGTATAAACAGTGATGCTACCTGTGAACAGCTCACTGCATACCACGTGCTAAAGGTTCGAGCTGTTCAAGCTCTTTCAGGTCGTATCTATTATGGCATGGCGATAGTACAACAGTAACGTCCTTTTCCTACCAAACATAGAGACATGTAAGGTTGTGTAGGACTGAGACCGGGCAGAAACTTACTTTTTTCCGTGCTGGCTGGGGCCAACCGTCGTAAACGGTACTTACCAATCACACTGAACGTAGAATTCGAAGCACTTATTAGGTTTCCTCCACTTACAGCGTTTATCTCTAAGAGCTCAGGAGCTAAATCAACTGTATTGCTGCCGAATTCAGATATTAGAGCAGGAAGAGAAAAGTCTCGGATTTAGGTCTTCGATACAAAATTGTAAATAAAAAAAAATTGGATCGACTAACTCGAAGCGGTACTCTCAGATTAAGTTGATACAAAACGACGCTAGAAGCGCAATTTCGTGATCGAATAAAACAAGCCCTGCCTGAGCAAACGTTTCACTAAGCCCTCGATAGATCAAGTCGGTGCGCCTAATAGTCTTTTGTACCTCTGTGTAATACGTTCTCACAACGAATTTGGATTAGACGACAGAATCACTCACAGGCGACGGACTTTGCAGAGCTCAGTTCTTTGCCTCTTAACCTCACAGGATCTGCGTCCTTGATGTGCCCACCTACACGAAACTTCACGGCCTCCGTCTTTTGTAATTGACGTTGCGCCAAAGAGGTTCACATAAATGCTGAGTGTGGCCAAAAGCTATCGCGAGTGCTTCCACTGGACAACACTAGTTACGTGGCTAGATCAATGCGCTAATTTGTGCGTGACTGTTTTTGATCTGTGGCATCTTCATACGTAACCATCAAGAAGAACAATCATCTAGAACTGTTACCCTATTAAAAAATACCACTTCCGAAAAATTACCATCAATGGCTACCTATTTCCTTTGTGGTATATTCTTGATTCCATAAGTCGGCTGGTACGTCTGCCTTGACGAACTCAACGAAAATAGTTTCCCTTGATACCATGTGAAACGCAGTTCGGAAATCAATGAGAAGTGCATAGATTCAGCTGAGAAATCAATAAAAACCGTACTTTTCTTGACAAAGTTCGTCTGAATATACGAGAATACAAATTACCCAATTGTATGTACTTTTCTTTTGGTTAAATACAGGTGCCCTAAGGCTTCGACTTTTGTCCCCGTGATAGTGCAATAGTAAATGTGTTTGTCAATTGAACTTGAAAACGTCATATGGTGGTCCAGATTTGAATTTGCGCGTAGACACAAGCTTTGTTTTGCGCTAATAGGTTCAGCCATCTGGAGAGATACGACTTCAGTGACAAACGTAGAAGTTGAAACTTTTACCTATGTATGCTTGACTTTGATTTGTCATATTGCCCGTTTTTATGCCAAACAGACTGAACTATATATTCTATATTTCATTGTTTACCTAGCTCGGGAAGATGCAGCTTTGCAAATATGTAATATCTCCTTTGGCTTTTTCCGACATAAAGAAAAGCCTTACTTTTTTATCGGTTCAGAATCCGCCATTGCCATTGGGAAAGGGCTCCCATCGGTTGGCGAGAGGGAAATTAAGGCGGAGAAACCCTCATGGCTTGTTTACAAATATTGCTAGCTTAGGTTAGCCCCGGCGAATTGCAGACACGCTCGAAAACGAACTGCTACCATCGCTGTGAGTTTTGTACTTGTGATTGCAACAGTAAACTTTTGCTTTGCTGTTTGGCTGGTGAAGGGCTGCAATCGGAGTTTGGCGTGACAGCTCACAGCAGGGTGGAACCGTGCGATCGGTCTGAAGAAAACAGTGAGCCAACAAAATGTCGTTAGCTGAAGAGCTTCTCGCTGATCTTGAAGATGACGAACCCGAACCGGGCGACGATGCGCCTCAACAGATGCCTAGCGTAAGTCTTTGTTTCTACACAGTGATTTTTTAATGTGTGCTTGAACTCAATCAAACTGATTCAACCTGTTTTTTTTGCATTCGACATAATAAATAAAATAGTAAATACAATAGCTTCATGCTCAGTTCAGTATAAGTGCATCAAAGATTCTTCAGTTTAACAGGTCATGTCCATGGTGTTATCCTTGTACAGTTCCTTATATATAGTTTCCCGTAGCCATGGTACCTTACTTAAGGTTCAAATAGGTGTAAGGAAGATCCAAAGAAATTCCGACAAGCCAGATGCCAGATATTCGGATATGAAATGCCTAACAGCATCACCGAACGTAAAACTTGAAACGTAGAGACGCATGTGACATGATGCCTAGAATCCAAGTTACTGGTACGTTTTCTTCTATGAGGGAAACCGTGCATCTTTATGTGGTTTCATAGAAAATTTAATTATTACGAATAACATTTTCTTGCTTTGCAGATCGATTACGTTTCATTTGCTTAAAAACAAAGCTTTAGGCGAATTCTGATTCGAGAACAGCTTAGGCTAACGGTAAAATTACAGTACTGATCTGTAACAGAAGAATTTGAAGTTGCTTTATTACAGTCGAATGGAGCTGGCTGTTCCTCAGCGATGCAAATCGGCCAACTGTTGGAAGAAGACGCGTTGGATGATTCGAACGATGAAGACGGGGGTTCCATTTCGGCGGGGAAGCTGCAAGGGTTTGGTGAAGGACATTTCCGTGACGAGGAAATGATGGAGATTGATACGAACGTCCGGTCCGTCAGGGAGATTGCCAGACTGCGGCATAGTCCACAGTTGCGGGATATCATAGATGAAATTCATCGTCTCAAACTGACACCACGACGATCTGAAGGTGAGTTAGCATTTTCTAGGTCAAAACAACAGTTATAGAGGTTAAACTTAACTAAAGCCTGTTATTACTTAAATTTATTATTATTATTAGTAGAATAAGCTTTTTTTTTATTCTAATGCTCTACAACGATCACCTTATCTCGTATCTAGAACTGTCCGCGAAAAAAACAACCGTGGTCCTTGCTAAGGAGATAATTTAGAAACCTCTAACTAAACCACGCATTATAACTGGATTTGCTCGTGTCACTAATAAATTTTTGAGAAACGCACTGCTTATTAATGTTGTTCTTCCTTTTTAGTACATAAAGCCACTGGAAATAAGTGAAAACTACTGCTATTACAGTAGTATCAAATAGCGATTGTTTAAGAAAAAAGAAAGAAGGTCTTTTTAATTTGTATGTCTACAATAAAAATAAACAATGCAAATAAATTGCTTTTCGATTATGCTCACTAAAAGTTATCCCTATTTTTTTACCCTAATAAGAGGATTGTATCGTTTATTTATTCATGATTTTCAGTTGTGGGTCCTGTCGAAGCGGATCCTGAGTATGCTTTGATTGTATCAGCGAATAATATTCTGGTTGAAATTGAGAACGACCTATCTATTATTCATAAATTTGCTCGCGACCACTATGCTAAACGATTTCCTGAGCTCGAATCGCTTGTTCCAGGCGCCGCGGACTATCTTCTCACAGTTCAAGAGATCGGAAACGACCTGGCAAAGGTACAATCCGTAAGAATCAACTATTGAATAAAACGAAAATGACTATCTTGGAAAAGCAAAACGCAAATTAATATATATATATATAAATATATATATATATATATTTATTGAAAAATACATAAATTTACTTTTTGTTTTTATTTATGTATTTTTCAATAGAAGCCTAAACACTGACACTACAAGCTTTTGCCTTCTTATGCTAGTTAGCTACATGCATAGGTACCAACTGGACAATACATCATACATCAAATAGGACAAAACATCATTTTGTCCCCAATAGTACAGTAATAACGTGTTCGCCTTTGAAGGTTTCTAAACTTCGAATCACTAAGCCAGGTTCGAATCTAGACAAAGACCCACGTCTGGTTTTATGCTAATAGGAACTAGCCTTCTGAAGTGATGCCCGACGGTTGAAATAAAAGGTTTAGAACTCAAAACATTGAACACTTACAATATGTCCATAATTCAAAATCTACTTTGATTGATATTTTTTTGCTGTTTCAGGTGAAGAACAGTGATCGCCTAAATCAGATTCTAACTCCGGCCACTGTCATGGTTGTATCAATCTCAGCGTCGACCTCACAAGGTGAGCCACTGAGTCCATCTGAAATGGAGCGCGTTTTTGAGGCATGTGAGATGGCGCAACAACTCAATGATATGAAGACAGAAGTGTTCGACTTTGTTGAAAGTCGAATGAGTCTCATAGCACCGAATCTCAGTGTGCTTGTCGGTGCATCGGTTGCAGCAAAACTTATGGGGATCGCTGGTGGTTTGACCAAGCTGAGCAAGATGCCGGCATGCAACATCCAAGTAAATTAACTTTCTACTGTAGATAGGGAATCGTCATGCAAATAGTGCTAGAAAAAAGCGAATAATACAGTAGTTCAGATTGATAATTAGTTATAGTTTTGTAGCATAACGGAACTATGCAGTTCTAGTTGATATAAGTTGTGAATATATGGTGCTTTTAGATGCGCGGAACTATACAGTTCGAAGGCTACGATAGCCAGATTGTATTTTCGACTTGCTTGTGCTCTATATAACTTAAAAACTTCGTCATTAAAAACGGAAGCCCGTGCGTTGCACTCACGCCGATATACAGCCAATGAAAAAGAAGTAATTACACAATTCAAATTTTTCCATAATTCATTCATTGTGTGAGCGACTAAATAAGGATTTTAATCAGTTGCCTGATGATCGCACAGCTAACATCGTTGCGACGTTTTTGGCTGTTTTGACTGGTGCAAATTTGAGTTTAGGTTTTAGGCGCATCGAAGAAAACGTCAACTGGTTTCTCGGCAACAGCGATGCTTCCGCATACGGGATTTATTTTCTACTCGGAGCATGTGCAAAACTATCCGTCCGATCTTCGAAGAAAAGCTGCTAAGCTGTTGGCAGCCAAGTGCGCTTTGGCTGCGAGGGTCGACGCGTTCCACGAAAGCCGAGACGGAAGTGCCGGCGAAGAGTTTCGTGCCGATATTGAGAAAAAGCTTGACAAACTCCAGGAGCCACCTCCAATTAAAACGGTAAGTATCTCGACTTCGTCGTATCTCTATTATACCGCCGAGCAGTAAAGTTATCGTCTTGCTTGCAGAAAGTCAAGTAAATATCTTAAACTCGGCGTGAATACGCACTCATAAACAAAACGCAATTGCCACGCTTAGTTATATCCCAATTCATACAATTGGTGATGACAGCACGTTAATTTTTGTTGCATCAGATACTTGCTTTTTAGATCTGTAATTACACATGCCATACTCCTCAATCGCTTTATATCTGTTTTGTTTCCTAAAGCATGAATATAAACAAATAACTACTTCCTTTGAACATACTTCAGGTGAAACCGCTTGCTGCTCCTATCGACATTCCCCGTAAAAAGCGCGGTGGCCGTCGGGTGCGTCGAATGAAGGAACGTTATGCGATCACGGAGCTTCGTAAACAACAGAATCGCATGACATTCGGTGAGATCGAGGAGGACGCGTACCAAGATGATCTGGGTTTTTCCGCTGGTCAAGCAGGCAAAAAGGGTGTGGCCGGGCGAATTCGTACAGCGCAGGTAGACGAAAAGACCAAAGTGCGCATTTCCAAGACGCTTCACAAGAATCTACAACGCCAACAGGTGTATGGTGGTGCAACAACGGTTCGAAGACATGTTTCCGGTAAGCAGCTCAAAATAAGACAGTACAGAATTGTCGTGTCAATGAGTATTACAACTAAACAGTTGAGGCAAGCGTTCGTATTTGCGGCTAAATAGTGATTGAGAGCATGCATTTATTTGTAGCAATCGCTTCCCTTTTTGTCTTGTGCCTTTGCCTCTGACATTAGTTCGAAAGAAATGTCGGTCAATGTTGTTTTGCTTGGCCCCTTTTCAACAGGTACGGCATCATCGGTAGCATTCACACCTCTGCAGGGTCTTGAAATCGTCAATCCAAATGCAGCTGAGTCGACAAAGTCTCAGGATGGCAAATATTTCAGTAACAATGCTGGATTCCTCAATGTCAACAATTCACAACATAAGTGATCCGAAATCGCTTTCTCTACCGATATGGTAGATAAAATGTGTGTACATATCTTACGATGTTGTTTTGAGGACTCCTGTGAATACAAAAACATATGTGAATATAAAAAGTAAAACAGAGTGGTGTTTTGTTTATTTCATATGCTGCTATCAGTGACAGTAACGCATTGAAGTTTAACAATCTCTATTTCAGTTTCCTGATAATAGAAAGAGAGAAAAAGAGTTCATAAAAGAACCTTCAAAGTGTGATGCTGGTGTTGGAAAGTTTGGGTTTAAAGGAATTGAGTCCAACTCAGGTTTGATACTACTTCAGCGGAAGTCCACCAGGATTTTGACTGTGAAGGCTTCCACGGATAGACAACTGGACCATACGGCGATTGTGAACGAAGCGATCGATGCCTATTTGAACACGACGCGAACACAGCATATTATTCTGGTTTTTAAACTATTTAACCATATCTTGTTTAATAATGACACTTCGATTGAGTTTGAAATAATGAAAGAAACGAATATGAAAGGAAGGTTTAAACGAATCGCGAGTCGAATAAAATGGTTCAGCCGTTCGCGTTGAGGTGCACGATGTACACGTTGGAAAGACTGGTGGAAAGGTTGGCTTGATTTAATGGAGGAAGCAAATGATCCTGAGCACCCATGACAATTTATGTTTAACCAAAAATCGCCTACGACAACCAGAGACGATGATATCTAATAGTGTCGCAACTGTTACCCATGCTGTCGACAATATGCTTACCTTAAGTTTGTTTTTTTACAAAGTTAAGTATCGCCGCTGAGAGTTAATGTAGTCACCCAGAACATATTTCCGCTCTAGAACAAAAATCGATACAGAAAAAAAAACAGCAACAATACCCTGGTAGCATCGACGAAAAGCAAAAGTTCGAACTTGTTATTAATTAAGCACAATATGCATCGTTAAGTAGTTGGGTTTGAGAAATGAAAGTTGAACTTCGAGCTCAACATGTAGTTGAATGATGGAAGGCCTACGGATTATGATTCCAAAGATGGTTCCTATCGAAAACCGGATGATCCGGACTGTGGTGGACTCGAAGTAGGATACAAAAAAACTGGTTTAATTTACTACGCGTATGTTTCATTTACTTGTACAGGCTTCTTTTTTAGTTCGCTTCGATAATGCCTGTCATAGCACATATATCCCGATTTCTAAACAATACCCGACTTGCCAACACTTCCTTGTCTTTATAGCCTCACAAATTTTTTTAATCTCTACTTTTAGCTTTATCTGTCTCCCAGCCTTTTAATAAGAGCCTTCCGATACGGTTTAGAAGTCTTTTAGGGGAAGGCTATACCCAAAAAGATTTTTGCCTTCATTCGTTAACTGCATTGCAGGACAGAGATTGTCCTGGGAAAACCAGTATACAACCGTGTTCTTTTCCCAAGCAACATAGTCGTCAAACGATATAATGCCGAATGCAACATATCTATGTTTTTTACCTTCTTTTGTCTACATCACACAATGACCTCACATTTGAGGAGAATTTAAAAAAATGCCCCAATTTTTTATTTCTCTTCGATACGATTGGTCTTCCTTGACCAGGAAGAAGCTTGTACATATTTTCGTATATAGGCAAAATCATCGCAACTCGTCAGTCTAAAATATTGACTATCAAATAACGCATGTAATAGTAGTGATTATTCCATACCATTAATAGTAAATATCCTTTTCGTCAACATAAGAGTAGCCGGCGGCATCTAAGGGAGCGAGGAAGCTGAAGACTGTTGAATTCTAATTCATCATAAAAAATTAATAATCATATGGTATGCACTTTAACTCATAATATGAAGGACTTCTCGACACGTTGCCGTTAAATAGGAACGGTCGTTAGATTTAGTAGGTGTAGCACACATACGGTCAAACAGGGTCCGCTGTGACGAGTCATTCTAGCAGAAACTAAATAAAAAGTAGTCGCAGAGCTTTAAGAAGTCAATGAGGTCCGCTAGTAAACTATTCTAATACTAATTATTCTAATTATATAAATTCTAACTTTGATTATAGTTATATATCATAATAATGAATGTGCTACATTGAATATTCGACCTGGATATCTGTAAATATGACGATGATCCAGAAAGTAGAACGAATCGATAGTGAACGCTTGTTACCTGAATAGCTGTCAGTTTCTCAGATAGGACGTCATGATCATCAGAAAGGCTTAGTAGGCAATTTATTTGAGGTCACTCTTTAGTCGTACTTAGTCGATTCTAAAACTGGAAATTTTCGTTAGCACAAGAGTTTATCGAAATTCTTTGAAGACACATAGCGACGCAATACACTGAACCTGCGATTTGGGTTTACTGAACAATTTTACCTGAAATAAGCTTCAAATATTTGAGACAACAAAGATTTTTCCGTTCTAACTTAGAACTTCATTTTACCAGCTGAACCAATTTATGCTTCTGCGTCTGTTACGAAAGCAATCTTAATTTTAAAATTATACAATTTTTAAGCGCACACCCTTCCAAGTGCGAATATTTTAGATATCACCAGTGAAATGCTGACGTAAACACGCTGTGAAGGGAAAACCACATCTTGTTTAAAATATTTAACGAATAAGTCATAACTAAGAATAAAGCATAACACTCGCATGCACATCTGAATAAATAAACAATGTTTTTGTTTAGAAACATGGATTTATGTAAAAACGTGTATCGTATAACTTATTTGTTAATCTCTAGGACATCCTTCGTCCTCTCGTTCAGCAACAGTAACACAGTTTAAGTACAGACTGGACTCTCCAGTATTGTTCGTTGTTTTTCGACTCATTTTTGCACAACTACGCTTCTTTATATTTGATTATCTGTCACCATTTGCGCGTTCTTTCCGCCTCACGCGTTGTTTAGTTTAGACGAAACGTACAATTGTCGAAAACAGCTTCAGGGAGCAAACAGGCTGACTGGCCGCATCTGGTGGCGTTTCTCATTAGTCCTCTCCTCACTTCTCATCAATTAATCAATTATACATAAAGCATCACCTAGTTACAGGCATTATTTGTGCATAGCTAAGTTTTCAGCCAGATTTATATAATTTTTATCTCTCAATATTCTTTCTCTTCGTCAGGATCGTAGTGATGGTGACTGGATCCAGCACCAGTTCTCATTATACGCGCCCTTATCGTTTCAGGGGCAACCACCTAAACAAACAAAAACAAACACAACCGTGCTGTTTAGTTTCTTTCATCTAGGTTTTCAACCGAATGTACACAGAAAGACAAAATAGAATATCAATGGACCTCATGTAAGCAGGCAGTTGCAATTCGAGAATTTGCCGCTGCAACGAAAAAATCCATTTAAGCATTTGCAAGCATCAAGCTAGGTTCAGTTATGAAATATTATTGAGGACTGTTTGAAGCAGACTACACGATTTTCCAAAAGTAATAACTTTGCCCGCTTTAATCTTGCCATTTTAATAGATAGGAAAGATATACCGCCGATACATACTCTGCAGTCATATGCCTGGCCGATAAATTTCATGGCGTCGATAAAGAGCGTTGTTATATTCAGCGTATAGGGGACTTCGGCTGCTTTGTAATCGTAGGGGAATGTATGGTGGTAATTGTGCCATCCCTCACCGTTAGCGCCTAGACTCACTGCCCAGTTTTCGACTGGGTTAATATGAATGTCATAGGGCCTTTGGCCCCACATGTGTGCAGCAGAATTGACCAACCATGTCATGTTCAAGCACCAGCAGTACCTGTACAAAAAGAAGATGATTAAAATTAGAGAAGACTGAACACAGTTACCTTCTAACTAATTGTTACAACTAACTCATTTATGTGACGTCTTTCATCAAAGTCACGAGTGTGCTAATGACAAATTTTCGTTAGGTGGTAGTACACCAGATGATGCCCTACATATTTGTAGCGATATTGTAACAGTGCTTTAATTAAAGGTGATATTGAATAGAACTGTTTACCATGGGGTTAACTTCGGCAGGGCCAACTAAATGGCAGGGCCATAATTTCACTCGTAAAATTTTTTGTGAGTACCGTGGTAGCCTAACCGACTGACGGGCATGCTACCACAGCAGTTTAAATGTTAGTGTTGGCCTGATAGTTGGAAAAATTGATAATAAAAAATATTAGAAATTAAAACATTTAGGAATAGTTGCTTGTATAATTGCCCTACAGTATCATAGATCTGTTAGGGAAATCTTATATAGGCCCAGTAAAACTCACTCAGATAAGACTCCTAATGGAAACGAATTCCTAATGTTATGTCTAAAGATAGGGGATTGCGAGGACTATACTCTAAGACTAATCATTGGTAATGCTCAACCAAGCATTCGTTGGACGCTGTTTAAACCGGATAATGTCCTGGCTACTAAGGGTAATAATGTAATATTCATACATGTAACAATTTGGTGAGCTTATGGACTAATAGAGTGATAGAATGGTCCTGTTAAACCACCGTTGATAAACAAAGAGAAAAATGCTTATATCAAATTATCAGATCACACTTCTGAGGAGGAGTCATCGCAAACCAGAAGCACTATCCTTAAAGCCATGTAGTTACATATAGCCTTGGCCTTAAGCGATATCCGTTCGGAATGCCCACTTTCATGCTTCCATGTTATAATCAGAAGTGTCTTGGACTGACTGCATTATACAATCCTAAATTAAATAGCGTCGTGCAAACATCAGCCCAGTCGTCAATGACAGGAACATCGGTGGGAAGCAGTCTGGTATTAGGTGAACATGTAAACCATTGACGCTTTCGAGAGTCAAACGGCAGTCATTTCATTCCATAATTTGCCACATATAAGAAGCCGGATATTATTGCAGAGAACAACACTAGCCCGCACATCGAGCACTCATTCAATCAGGACCGGCTTGCGACAACATATTATGAATGTTACACAGACGGCAAAACCAAGTACTCTCTTAATGCTGAGGTAACCCCGTGGAATAATCATTTTTTTCTGTGCGACGTACACTATATAGATATGTTAGCCTGCGATCCGTTAATCTTCTAAATGTGACCCGCATTAATGTTGCCAAAAATCATCAAAGTCATTTCGAGGCATCTTGTTATCATTTCAACAATCGCATGATAGCGAACTTGTGTAACAACCATATAATATGCGTCTAACGTAACCTTTCGCAAACTCCGCAAGACGTTTGTAAGAACGCGAAACTCTTCATTTGCTACCATGTTTTTATCTCTAGTCAGTGTCTCCGCAACCATATATATTCGACAGTGCTCATTCGAACCATTCCTTAGAAGCGATTGCATCCTATCTCTGGTTCTCCGATGCGTCCGTTTTAGCGTCACACACAAATACATAAACATATCTAGCAACAGCGGCGGCTCTCTATCGTCTCTTACTGAGGACGGCTCACTCAGTGTCCTCTGTTACACTAAATACAGGTTTGTTTTTCTAGTTCGTTTCTTACGCAATCTTGTTGATTCGAGTAGTCCAGCAGCGGCAACTAGACTGCCCCTTTCAAGTGGCGCTATTTCTACGCCACAGTGGCGTACTCCTCACGCCATCTAAGACTCACTTCCGTTCATCGAAATCAGACGAGATGCAATGAAACGCTTTCGTCGCCGCCGCCGTCGCTACTGTCGTGAACTTTGATACAGATAGCAGCGACGGAGCATACATGTGCTTAAATTAATATAGGTAGTACCCAGAAGCCGAATTGCACCGGGCAGTTGGGGAGCAAGCATGTGCGAGCAATCGAATATATTTTTATATATAACCTTGAACTAGTTAAAAGGACGGACTGTTTTATAGATGCCAACTTTGAAGTTCTACGCGCCTCTTGTCTGCATATTGTGATGAAATAACCAGCCCAGGGTGTTGCGCTCTTTTCTGTTGATTTACTGATTCAAACGATGCCAGTTTCTTCTCACTGGTAATAATATAATGGATTGTAGTATTAGCCCATGGAGCTTTGCTATTATAGCACTTCTGTCAGGTAGCAGCATCAACGACATTGGGCCGGCAACTTTTCAACTCGTTAGTTGTTTTCTGGCCATAGCCACTTCTGACTGTTTCTGCTATTGCCGTGTCACTAAAGACAACCCAGCCCGAAGCGAGGCAATTGTGTTTCCGCCATGGTGGTGTCTTGTCAGTGAAAAGGATGGTCTCGATTTAGTTTCGTTCGATTGATAGGTCATCGGTCGATCGAGGTGAATATAGTTAAATTTGTTTAATTGAGCTTAGTTTCACTTCTCGAGTAAAATTTGCTATGTCGCAATAGTTAGGCAACGCTACAACTAGCGCCATATTATACGAGTCGACTAGAGGGACGCTTCATACTTGGTCGACATCAATAAAGAAATTACTGTTAGTAGAGTTTCTGACGAATCCTCTACCAATGCAAAACGCGACGGGTAGATTAGGCGCGGCCAGCGCCAGCGTCACGAAACAGAGCTACTAGTGCATAGTACAGCGTCATGGATATCGAATGGGGCCGCGGATGAATTCAGAGGAAACTGGAAGAGGTCGACCTAGCACTCCAATAGGTTCAATGGGTTTGTAGAATCGCTACGGGATGAGACTGCGGACAAAAAAAAAGCCATTGAGCGAAACAGTGAAAGAGACGCTAGCCGAGTTATTCTAATATCGTGGACCTATCGGCCCACTCAGCTGTCTGAGGCATTGGCTAAATTTAACAGGTTTCTGCAAACGGTACTGATTGTAATAGTAATGGTAGCCGCTATTAGGTTAGGTCAAGGATCAACAATGGAAATGACATGGCGTAAAAATTCTTTAGAAACTTCCGGTTGTAGGTGGCAGGAAAGCTCTATGATTTCGGTAAGAACAAGCTAACAAAAATGTTTTGCTATTATTTGCTAACAAAAATGTCAGCTAGAGGGCCGGATTGCAACAACTATGAAATCTTGTATTCATACTGTATATTTGTCTCTAATTACTCGTGACATGTTCCGAACTCGGGCGTTCTAAAGAGTGGATAGCTTTGGAGAAGTTAGACTAACTAGGGTAATGGCTTTAGCGGCTAAGCGACTCTACGCATTGCTTCATATTTCTACATGCAGAGCCTAGGCTCGTTCGTCAGGGTTTGACTTGCCAAACATATGTACAGAGAATCAAGCTAATGTAGCGCTTCCATTTTTCCAGTTTTGCTCGACTCAATCACGCATTTAATCGTTTGTTAGGTTTCAGCTTATGTAAATGGTTTCAACTCCCCCCCCCCCCCTTATAATTACCTGTAAACCGTCATTTGATATTAACAAAGAATATGTGAGCGGCCAATTGTCTCTGGTAGTCTCTTATAGTATACATTGCAAACTGATCTTCATCGCATCGATTCAATCATGAATCGAAACAAAAACCTTAAGTTCATTAGCAGGAACCGCATGATATTTTTATTATTTGACAAAGCTTTTTAGCGTTTTTTTCAGTAAAATTCGATATCTACTGTAATGGCGAAGGTGTCGTGTCGTGGAAACAATTCAGCCGGCTGACTCTTATCATACTTAGATATTTCATTTAAGGAGTAGGTAATATTGGATACTATCTTTATTGTTATACTCTTATGAATCGTTCATCTAGGTTTTCGTTCAGTTGTAGTAAAATCGAGCTGATTTGCGAGCAGTTTGCGAAACAGTCTTTATTTGTGAGATAAATTTGTTTTGACTGCAATGATAACGTGTGAGTGTTACGCAACGTGTATTTTTTTCCACGGACTATAGCATCATCTAAAAATCGTAGTTTAGTGTTTATACGGTACAGATCTGTCATATGAAAGAAACGCCAGATAGATTTTTTGTTGAGCTTTAAACCTGTAACCCTATGCTGTAAATTAAAAACATCGCCAAGTGTTTCATACATATATATATATTAGTTCTTCCTTGGAAAAGCGCGCCCACATTTCTATCCTTGTTGCACAGCAATTTTGTCTGCCTATCTTCTCGCTAATTATGCTTATCGCTGAGATACACGTACCTCCACATTGCGCAGACGAAGAACGCGTTCATAAGCGTTTCACCGAAGAGCACTATTGGAATCGATGTTGGTAAGATGAAGCACATAAAGATAGCCAGGGAGGGGTAGTACCTGAAATGCGGTAACGATTTTTAGATATTTTCTGGTAATTATTACGGTAATAAGTAACATAATACAATAATAATGTGTAAAAAAAGCAAGCGGATGGCGTACTCCTAACTTTCCTCTTGTTACCATGATATCATGTCAACGTAGCAAAATGACTTGTTATAGATGACCAGTCGGTTTCCGACCCAATTTTTGTTATTGGACCACAACGGGAGCTGCTATATTGCAAATCTATAAATGGTCTATTGCAGTCTGTCGCACTATTTTGCCAACGTCAACTGGCGTCTCTAAATCTTGAAATACTAGTCGACTACCTAGGCTACTGCTCAAACAACACCTACTTTTTTTGGAAACGGACGATGGGGTCTTCAAGAAGATCATCCATTTTCACTTTGGAGCCCTTAGTAATGACGTCAGGATGTTTTTTGCATAGAAGCCAACCGACATGCGCAAAGAAGAAGCCCCTGGTGGCATTGTGCGGGTCAGCGTCGGTCTCGGAGAACTTATGGTGTACCCGATGATCTCGGCTCCACTCAAATATGCTATTCTACAATCGTAAAGAACCGAAAGGAAATTTCGTAAAATTTAACAAAATAACGTGAAGGAATTCTACTGAAGGAAAATATGCCTATATAGTACCTCGTATGCATCTTATTATGCACGAACCTATGCTACATCCGTCAAATGGCTTGCTTGAGTTTTTACTTGTTTTCATCTTTACTTGTGAAACACAGACGAATGCATTAGGATTGTGGCGTTGTGTCTCAAATATTAGTCGACGCCAGCTTGCTAACGCAATGTCAGTAACAAAGCGATCAGATGTGTTACCAAATCTCGTTTATATACTCCATTAATGGTGGAGCTGTGACACGTACTTATGTTCAATGCCTTGTAACTGTTCGTATAAATCGTGCTCAACCCAACAGTAAAGAAAAAAACAAGTCTCTTCTCGAAAGTATTCCACTAGGCGTATAATCGATAAACTATGACAAACCTGTTACATGTTACTAATCGAATCATAACTATGGCGTGACCCATATCGGCGATTTACCGCCGATCGTGCGGGGTGCCAGGCAGACAAAACGTTGCTCTGCCAACACCAGATCACTTCTCAGTAATAGCGGCAAAGGCCGCCGCGACAGCTGGGAAAGTCGACGAATTTGTCGGACCTGTTATTAAGCTGGGTTATAACGGTTAATTGGCAGGACGCTTCCTTCCTACAACGACGACGTTTTTCGTCCGTAGATTGTTGTGGCTACCCAATCAGCTATAGAGCGAATTAGGCAGCTGGCAAGCCATTCTGTTGAATATAGGCAGAATAGTTTAAGATGCACCAAGAAAGTCCTATAGCATGTTCCTTGTCACCTTCTTCATCGAAGCAACCTCTGCTGATCTACCGCTGTTGAATCCGATCTGGCTACCAAATCTTACTTATGCTCGCTCCGATATTACCATTATGTTACAAAGATTCTGCAATTTTCTCTGCTTAGAAAAACAGTTCATATTTCATAGGGCGGAGATTTTCTAAAGACACTGCGTAACGCTTCTATAGGTTTGAGCTACCTGGTTCATAGGTTCAATGAAATAAATATTTCATTCATTCATTTCCTATTGTAATATTTTTTACATTAAAGAGGCACAGAAAAATCACTACTGAAAATAATTGACAGAACGCACATGTTGTAGAATGATAAGGTCTAACTCAGAACTGAACTCATAACTCCTGGACTACTCTGAGACTCTTTGTAAGCGTCGTCTCATTCCCAAACAACTCGAAGAAAATTCACACCATTACCGAGGAACTGACCTACTCAGAACGTAATATTTAATGTTATCTAAACTGACATTAATATCTGAATCTCAGGTTGTAGTGCTTAGATCGTAACGTTGGTTCCGCTGTGTCTATGGAGGGTAAATCTGTCCCTTCTAAAGCACCTCAACGCGTATTTCAGTAAAAGTCCGCTGGGTGCTTCGTCCTTCTCCAAAACTGGTTTCCGAACAAAGTACGCTACACAGATAACTCTCAGTACAATCAGGTCTGCGGTAAATAGCATTGGTTTGGCTCACTGAAGCGCTCGTTTTCAGCTACACTGCTGCTATTTTGACGGAACCGTATCGCTGAGAGAAGAAAAGCGTATACCTAGTTGGTGGCTTGGTAATGCGGATATTGTGAGAAAAGGGTAGAAGGTAAAGTTTCTTCCGTTTCGGAGCGTTTTTGGCTTTCCTCGATACGAAAGCAGTACTGAAAACGCTGTTCTGTGGCCTATGGAATATTACTAGAAAAATCTGCTGAATGGGATTAATTGTCTTTCTTTTCTACAGACAGCCTAGCTGACACGTGACATGGCCTACTAACATTTATAAAAATTCGCTGAATAATAATAATAATACTAATTAGGAGACGCTGATCCTGGCACGTAAGTATAATCTGTTTACAGACAGATTTCACACGCATTTTCATCATCGCATGTAGCAAACATCGTTGCCTTTCTACTGGCGCAAAATGCAAAACGTAAATCATTTCGCTCATTACAATAGAACATATTATAGGTACCTGTAAAGCCATTGTTTGCATAGTTGCAAGGAATACCCGAAGCGGAAATCGAGCCCGATAACTTTTGTGCGACCACAACCGGTGACATCCTGCTGTAATTCCTAGGCCTGACAATACGTATAACACGATTGCTGGGATGCGTCACGAAAACGACAAACAGACCCATGCGTGACCCAGACGACGACGGTGCGAGAATAGACGAAAATCCAAAACAAGCATGTAATACACAAGACGAAACGAAGTGGTATACAGAGTTAGATTTGTTGGCAATTAAAAACGCTATAGTCTGCTAAGGGATGAGAAAAAATTGTGTTTATGGTGGAGGACCCGTGTATGCGCTATCGGTATTGACGGTCCTTTAAACGGACGATAAAGGCGATAAAGACATTATGATGATTGGAACTGAGTGTTAGGCTCTTGAATTTTAAGTGCGTGAAAGAACTCCTATGTATTGGTTACTTTTAATTATGTTGTTATGACAACCGTTTGCCTCATATACAAAATTACAAATCGCGGAAAAAATACGGAGAGAATGCGATTTTATCGTGTGAATTCAGCTCATGTTGTTCGTCTCCACTCACACTGCCGAAGGCTAGAATGTTTTTCTGTCGCGGCCACCGTTTGTACCTACCTTGCGTACCTTAAGCCACCTAGTAACATAATTACGACTCTGTTTTGGCATGCAATTAATTATTTCATAATTAACTTCTAGATCGTTACATAATTTGATCAAATTATAATTACAACAAGAAAGTTGCGATATTAACAGGCGCTTCTATCGCAATCTACGCTTTCATTATATTTAAATCATGCTCGTAAACATTGAATTACAGTTGTTTTTCATTGAACTTGATTAATTATTGCGTAATGCTCGCAGAATGACCACTCATCGCGCATTACAAGATGTCGATTTCGTTTTTTTCCGGTTTGATTTTATTTTTGTTAAAAAATGATCGGGGCCAGGGATGTGTTTCAGTTTTAGACCTATCTTCGGCTAGCCTACTTAACTGACAGAGTCAATAATGGTCGTATTCATCGAATCCGATAGGCACCGAACCAGCATTGCAAAATGAGATCCGAAATCAATAAAGTAGACCTGCACCCCAGCCGCACGAAGCCTCTGTTGGATCTCTGGTGCCGGTTCCCTTAATCTGACTCACTCCTTTCCGTACGTACATCCCATCCGCCACACCCGAACAAAATGATCAATATCATCAGCATTCACCGTAGCATTTGTTCAGTCCTTTATTGTTTTTGTTATTCTACTAATGGATCAAGTAGACGCTGTATAACGTTCGCGTCGCATTCCGGCTGCCAACGACGGGCTGAAATCCCGTTAAGCCGATAACCTCTAGTACCGATACTGGCGCCGCCAGGAAATTAAGGAAACCTTTTCTGGCTGTCAGCACATCAGGTGCGGCGCGAAAACTACCTAGCTCAGCGATCATCGGAAAAACACCGCATACGACGGCATAACGTAAGATTTTCATGTGATACGGCGACGCGTTATTATACACATGTGCAAACGTATGCCACGGCCGACGTATAGTTAGCAACAGACCCACTACCAGAGTTCATGTAGGTGTCCCAGCGACGACGCATTTGCAACAGAGGCAGCGGTGACGCGTGTTTCGAACATCCGAAAGTGGTATAGTTGCTATTCCATAACGATCAAAAAGTTCAATACAACGACTCTTCCAGTGATTGACTAGAAAAATCGATGGATACGTTGTATATATATAAAACGCGATTTTCCAAACGAGAAATTATTTCATCTGTTTTTCTTTGTTATCAGGCCTTCATTTTTCTTCTCGATGATATGACACTAGGGGTGGAATCGTCGCGTGAAATATGTGACGCGCCAGACAAGCTTCACCAGAAATAGTAGGAGTCAAAAACGCCAAAGCAGCCAAGAGAACCATCAGAACGCAGAGTCAGTAGGCAAAAATTACTGTCATATGAGGCTAGTGATAAATAGGGTATCATATCCTAGGGATAATTTTTTCTCCGATGTTTGATTGATCGTTGACGCCTTGTCGATGCTGACGACAAGGGATATTCGGCGGATCCTTTCACGTTCAGCCTCGAACGGATAGCCGGTGGCATTTTGTTGCTTGGTCAACAATACACGGCGAAATGCCGTAGCGAACCGTGAACGGCATACAGCCAAGGGCTGCTATCATCTTTAGGGCTTCACCTGACCTCGGTGTGGAGCACCTTTTAGGCTAATCACCCATACGTTCAGCTGTGCCAATAAATAGGCACACCGTCGTGAAACCTTCGTCTATCAATTTTCGACTCCTAATGAGCTGACACTCCCGTCAGGACTGGACTACCCGTAGTATTCGCACAAGCATTGGTTGCAGAAAGTTCTAGCTAATTGATGGTATCAGGTCTTCAAAATGTAACGGACGGCAGATGAAGCTGTGGCGGCATCGCTGACCTCGTGAACAACGAACGGTGATGCTTGACACGATGGATGTCCATCATTCATTTTAGGGTGATTTATATCTATGTCTCTGAGGTAGAAATACTATGGTTTCATCGATATCTATTTCAGGAAGGTAGCGGCAGCAGACCTTTTATCCGGTCTATTTTCGGCGGTTGGCGGTGGTTCATTAAAACTGCGTGACGCAGGTACAAGGGCTTTTCATATGTGAACGTCGTTTGTCAACGTGTCGCAGACATTGTACAAACATTACGGAGCCTATTGTTGTTATTATCACGTACGCGCGCGATTGTAATGACAGTAAGTACGACAATCATACACCATCTATTAATCAGCCCATGGCACTCACAGGGTTTAAAGTCGCACGCACTGCATTGTATTATCTATGGATTAGAGATTAAGTTGTGCACCAATTGTAAAATGCGAACGTCGTTAAATCGTTGAAAAACGTGTTCGCTGTTCGCGGACGTCGAGTTTGCAGGATCGAAAAATTTTGCGACAGGAAACACTGGAAAGTATGTAGAAGTAAAAAGCCGCGAAGGAGGAACTGCACACAAGCACTTTATGAAACACATGCGAAAGTAAACGCTGTGACCTTGAAACGCACAGCCTAGAGAAAAACACGTGACTGTCAACCATGTATATCAACGATGCTTATAGGTTTTTTGCTCAACTGCACAGTGTTTCACTATTAACTTAGTTAATAATTGGAACAAAGCACACATATGCATTTGTTTTCTCTCTCTCTCTCTCTATATATATATATATATATACATATATGTTATCTATTTTCCCTCTGTTCCGCCGTGTAGCACTCTATCAGACGGCTGGCTCCGAGAACGAAACGAAGTGTCTCTACGCCCCGGTTTGAACCTAGACCACAATGTGTCCCTACGATTAGCAGGCAAATGTGTTACCCACTAGGCTATCACAGAGTCTATATTAGTTATCATACTATTAGTGATAGCAGGATTCATTGTTCCTTGATTAGCAGGTATCTGTTAGAAGAGCATGAGTAAATGGAGCGAGGAAGCCGTCCTAGCAGATTTCGAGGCAATGAGAGGTAGCAAACAATGCCAAAGACTTGCTGCAGAAGCTGGCCATCTAGGGTCGGCTAAAATGGGCAGGTGGTGCGTTTCCTTGCTTGGTACCAGTTAGAAATGGAGATCACCATGTTCTATGTCGAATAAATAGTATTGAACTCTATAGATAAAATATTGCCTATAATCTATCTAATACATTGCGCAAAAAATTATGACAATTTTTTGCGTAGTGTATTAGCGTATCCCGCTAATGGACATTTTCCCGCTTGATGAAGAATCACACGAGTTACAAGTAAAAATATGCTGTACACTTACAACCGTGACACCAACACGTTTATGGTTCTATGCGCGGCTTATGATGGTTACCCAAGACTAAGGCGCACTTTTAGAGTATGGAAAATTGGCAGAGGGTTTCTTCTTGCCAGATGTCTTTCGACCGCATCTAAAACGATTAGATGATTGGTATAAAGGTAAATATAGTACTTCAAGAAATAGTAGTGTGGGCCGACGACGCTAACGAGTGAGCATTTCATGCTTCGTCTGGAGTGTGACGACCATAATCGCTCCTGATAATTACGTTTTTTTGGGTGCCGCATTCAAATCGAAAACACAAATTAAATGGGCTCGAAAAAAAATTCTCCAATTCTCTATCCGGTCCTGTAATAATATACAACTACTATAGGATAATACGGAAACCAATAAGAGTTTGCTTTCGTATTATACATTTCCTCAGTTTTAGGCTGTTCATTATTTCGAAGTAGATAACTAGACAAAGTCATACGAAGACAATCAGATCGTGATCCAGAAAAGGTCGTGACTTATTGCGACCGGAAGCAAGAATTCAGACGACACTATCGCAGCCTGCGCAAGTAGATATTCGAACCGCTCCCAGCAACCCTCGAAATGGTAGACTAAACTAGGCCCTTGGCCTAGTTCTAGCTACAAGTTGAATGAACTCGTTTCCTACCCTACGCAGACTGGCAAAAGACCCATGGCTGAAGAGTACACCGAGATCACGCTGTATATTTCCGCGCTGCGAGGTCGCGGCATTAAGCGTCTTCTTTATACAATGGTTTTCTGTCTGGCGAGCGAAATGGATCGGGAGCCTTTGGGCGGCACGGTGGCGTCGAGATAAAAATAACCCATGCGACACCAAACGTGTTGACCCATTTTGGCTGACCGTCGTACGTGTAGTAACCTAGAGCTCGCTCATACCTGTGAGTCGTTCTTCTATTTAGAGAGCGTTTTTGTTGTTGTCTTATTCGTCAGTCCAACCTAGACGAAGGACAAACCCGAGCCAATAAAGCATGCTCTTCGAGCATAGACCCAAATAGTGCTATGAGTCTGAGCGGCCAACAGGCCGCTGAGAGATATGGTGTCCAAAAGGTGTAAGATGTTGGCAGGACAATTATACAAATAAAATTTACACAAAGCTATACGACTACTAATACTAAAGTGGACGGCCGGACGTTTCCCTTATCACAAAGACGGTGATGCCTGCGAAAGAAAAGATGAGGCAAAGCGGCGGGTCTAATGAAGTACACGTCTTACTTGAAGAGAGGTGCCGGCTGTGCACTGTGCAAACCTTAATTATAGGTCTCATGTTTTTTCGATGTTCCTAATTGAAGTCCCTTTGATTTAAGTGTTGGGCTAACGTCATTGCACAGAAGCTCGAGTCCTAAGAGCTAGGAGTGTCTGCGAATGACTAGATGTCAGCATGAATATTTAATAAACGTGACAATCAGGCGCCCAGCGATGTAAATAACAAATTACGTTGCAAAACATCAAGCAGTAATTTGTAGATATATTCAACGTTAATAGAGAATGTTTAAAACGATAGAATTAGCCAGTAGAAGTAGGCTACAAGAGTTACAACAAAAGAAGCCTTAATATTGCGTTTTTGGTGTCATCGTATAGATCCTTTAATGTATAACGAGTCACAACAGTAACGCTTGGGGACACTCTAGCGTCAGGTAGCAGCCTAAGCGATTGCCTAATGCTTATTATTATAGAACGCGTTATTTGAATGTTCTAAAATTCAATTGTTTCGCATACTCTTCTACTCAAAAAAATCACTTAACGAAACACGAATAAATGTTCTGTTCCGCCATTGTTACAGTGCAGAAGCAATTGCCTCCGTTACCATTTTGTGAGTTTGTCGCTGTTGATGTCACTGCCTGCTATCATCTGCAACAATGATATAGTTTCAACAGAAATGCTAATACAAATACTAAGGTCATACAACAGATTCTACCTATATACATTGAAAGACGGCCTAAACAGTCAGGCTTTGGTCACTGCAGTAACCATCCCACCCCGCACCTTTCCCTTGTCCGTTCTGCTCCGAAAAGCTGTCGCCATTACATAACACCGACGGGTGCACATGCTTCAATGCTCTGCGCTATGGACCTCACGTCGTGCGGCCAAAATCCGTCTGATCCGTACTCCGAATCGCGTATTGGCCATGTGAAACGTTTCGCTTTTGGCTCATACGGTGCACGAGAACACGCCTGCGATACGACTAGACATTTCATAAACTACAGTTGTATTTAGTTTGCCCATTGGCGTTTCACAGCAGGTAGTAGGACCGTTATATGCGTGCGTAAACGTTGTGCATAAACTGACACAAGACCGCCGATGACGACCAGCACGATACGCGTATGTTGGCAAGACCCAGCTTGCGATCACTATAGCAATTATAACAGTTATAATGAAAATGTATGTTAAGTTAATAGTAAAGTGAAAGAAAGGCATGGTCGGTTTGCTTGCGAAAGCCCGATCGTACGCGTGTTGCCAATTTCTGAAAAAGCAAATCTCGTAGTAGGCGCCTTAGCATAAACAATAATCGACTGCCATAGTCTATTCGGTAACACTGACTGAGAAAAACGTGCGAGCGTAACTGACCGAAAGACGTTTAAATTCTCAACGGTAAACAGTCACAGACCGCTTGGAACCTGCGGCTTCAATCGCTGCTTTCCGTAGTATCTTCTAAACGACAACAACGACCCTATCGCGACCGAATCGCGCCAACGGAAACCATAAACGTTTTTTCTTCATTGGAAAAAAATTGTTTGCTGTGAAATGATAGCATTTCGTCAACGATGTATCGATTAGCTTGCTCTGGTCTCCGTGCTAGTCTGTAAATTAGTATGAACGAGCTACTACAAAGATATTATTGTTGTCGCTCAATTTTAATTATCTGGGAAAAATATGGGGTAGTAAGGACTGTATATTGACTCCAGTTCAGCTTAGTGCCAATAACGCTATTTTCACTGGGCTTAATTACAATAGGATTTCACTGAATTTAATAACATTGAACGTAATGATTCCTTATCATCCAACGTTAGGTATATATTTCTGGCCTATAACAACAATGGCAGACGTGGCAAACTTGCGTATATTAGACTGTATATAGGCAAAATTTGGTGGACTGCGGAGCAACAACCCACTTTGATTTGATATAACAAAGCTTTTCTGATGCTTTTTAGATCACGAAGTTTGAAAAGTAAGTACCACTAAACGGTCCTTTGATTGTAAGTGGGTTGCTGTTCTAAGCAGTAACGGACCACTGTTTTCTGTTCATAAAAACACTTTTTCCTTTCTAATCTGCCCACTGTAAGCTCATGGAAACCTTACGCTCTAGTAATTTTTTTCTTAGTACTGTATGTGGAATCTGTTGTTGGAATACATTGAAAGGATGACACTGAAGTGTTGAAAAAGGTACTACTTGAACGTCGGATTTAAATTCGTTACTGTAAAGCCAATTCTTCTCCATAGACCAGATACTGTTTTCTAGCTTGTATTGCGTTAGAGACGGGTAGATAAGGCCTTTTGTCTAATTGTTTTTGCAAAAACATCGTTGCGAAAACAGTTATAGCAGGACAAACAGATTGCATATACCTAAATATTCATTATTTCAAATGAGACATGGAAGTAGACCACTCATACCTGTTAGGTACATCAAGAGTATTGATCAAACATATGTGTCGATGTTTACGTCCAGCAATACCGCTTTCATTCGGTTTTACAGTGACTGGTCTCTGTTTGCACAACATAAGATGTATCAAATCTAAAATTTACCACACCAAGTAACCTAAACTCAATAGCAAAATACGTTACTATCGATCTGTCTGGGTAAATGCTGAATAATGAGAGATCTGCACACTCAACTCGAAATTTAGAGATAGCCTCCCACATCTCGAATCGATGTGTGCACTGTTTGCGCTCTATGCAGTACATCGGGTATACCAGTTGCTTTAATCATGGCTGGGCATAAAAAGCATGAAGCTACCTACGGTATCATTTGAAAGAACAATGAATATTGCGTCCGTAATACTCATTTTTCCCGCATTCCCTCTCGTTCCTTCTTGCTGTTTATTTCGTTTTAACTACCAACCAATTACAATTGGACTAACCTGTAATGCACGTCGACCACATAGCCTGCGTGCACATGAGATAGAATCCATAAACGGCCGCTAGGTGCAGATAGCTCATGAGTATGACGTTCCGCCAAACGATCTGCCTCTTGTATGGGGCAGCTGGAGGGGCTGTCTTCGTAACGGTTGTCGTCACTGACATTTTGCCGTTCGAGCAAGCTTGCTGATCTGACTATGGTAAGCCGGAGTTCGGCGAAGCTCTCCGAAGAGACCTCTGCCCTTCCAACGATAATCGAGTGAAATCAGCGAGAAGATTTGGACGCTTGCCCGGACGCACTGTGCGAAGCGGACAAGGTGTCCTCAACTGATCACAACTGACGTTGAATTTTGTTTGTTTCGAGTCTTTGGCCTCCGTTTGACACTGCTAGATCTTCCGCGTAGTGTAAAGATCAGCTAGTGCTGCGTACCACACAAAGCGCAGTTATACCGTCAACAGTTGAACACCTATTGCAAGCACACTTTTTTCAGGTCGGGTAAGCGCACGTGGTGTGCCTGTGTTCTGCTAGTCCGATATTCGTTACTCGCCAGGTCAGCCTTCAGCTTAGTTTGAGCAACGTTGTCGATGCAGGTCTTCTTGTAGGTTTGGTGAGTCTAGCACGTCTCTCAAAAGGTTATATGCAGCAGGCCCTCCTAAGGACTGCCTCAACAGTGTGACAGCTGGCTGACACGCGATCACTCAACACTCTCTCTAGCGCCCTCGGCGCTGATCTTTGTTGCGTTTGCACTGTTATCGATTACTACAGCGTCTGCTGCTGCCTGCACAGGCAGACCTGACACCTTTACAATTCCGATGTCGCAGCTAGCCCCGTAACTGCTTCGACTGCAACTGTTGTTGATGATCGTGATAATGATGGTGTCATTCGGAGACTCCGGAGAGCGTGTGCCTGCCGCGTGAGGGCAAGGGTGCGCGAACGTAAACGGAAAACAGCAGCTACTGAAAAATGCTCTAGTGACTGTAAAACGTTCTAAACGGCACCACAGCGGGTTCACGCGCCGTTTACCCGACGATGCCGGTATCAGCAGCAGCAACGTTAGTTAGTGACGGACGCCGACGAGGTTTGCCAGCTAGGCTGCTGGTCGGTCTAGCATAGGGGTGGGTGAGCGCGACACGGTCGCAGCATCAGTTCCTTGCTTGGACAGACACGCGCACAACGACACAGTGCGAAAGAGGCGGATATGGAGCGATACGCGAACGCGATACCCTACGCTGACGTCGGCTGGCATCGTCGTGCAAACGCAAAGAGGCGAGGAGGTCGAACGGTGCGCTCTGTATTTTTCTACATAATTGCACCACGTGATGGAAAGAATTGGAACTGGTATGTGCGTTGTCAAGGCGGGATCTGTGAATGACCAATGCAGGACGGACCAATTGTCGGTGGCCAATAGGAATCGTCGTTGGAGCCGGCGATTTGCCGGACCGGCGATTGAGTTCGGACGCGTGTCGAAAAGCGTCATCGAGCAACGATCACGCATCGAGTATCGTGTGAACTCAGGCGGTAGGGATCTGCCTTAACATGACTACGCGGTTAATGTCAATTCGGCCGGTTCCTACCGGTTGACAACTGATAATAGTATTGTGGTTATGGTGCTCCTTATACTAATCTATCGGAGACATGGCGACTGGAGACTGTAACTGTAGCAGCGACAATTTCCGCAGCAGTACAAATAGTACCATTAATAGGAAGAACAGAACAAATAACACCGATAGTAACTCCTGAGCACCCTCTGCTAGAGAGAGACCAATGATCAACTTTCGGATACTGAAAACGAAAGTATAATAAACGAAAGCATTGACGGCAAAGGTGCGTACACTGGCTTCGACGTGTTTACTGTGATCCCCGGCGCAGCCGTCAACGCCGCTGCTTTTGTAGTAATTTGTAGTGGTTCTCTGCTCTCTTTTCGTTGGTTTGTCATATATTTGCGTCAGTGGAGCGTTATTCCCGCCAATGGAAGCTTTGTCTAATCTATCTCCGCCGTGTTCTTCTTTATAGTAAGCATAGTCGTTTGAGCGCTCCACGAAGGGGTGACGTGGCGTAAGCGCGGCCATCGACAAACGTAACACAACGCAAGCAGTTGATAGAAGTCAACAGCGACCGACTGGAGGTCAAGTAGCCGAGCTATTTTTAGATGCGCGCGAATGCTCAATTCGATTTTAGAAACGGCCGGCGCATCTTTACTATAGTAGACGCACGTTTTAAACACGCCGCTTCTTTCAAGCTGAACGACTAATTTAAAACTATATATAGTATTTCATCCAGCATTTCCAGTGCCTCAGTCTGGTGATAGCAAGGTAGTGGGTAAACGACGACTAGTAATGGATGATGATCAGTGTCATCATTCACTCACACAATGTCAAAGACTGAATTTAGAAGCACGCAAAAATAGCGATATCTCCTAGCCTAGATGAGGTATTTCCTGAGCTACCAACTACGACGGATAAGACTGAGTGCGTCTAACGTTCACACAAATGTTACCAAATAGGGCTGCAGGAAAGATTAGGGTTCTGGTCACACCACAAAGTTGCGCGATGTATGTACACACGTACGCACACGCACACGCATACATGCATATACATTCACGTTCATAGGCATGCATATGCATACGCATATACATACATACATACATACATGCATATACATATATATACACATACATACATACATGCATATACATATATATATTATACATACATACATACATGCATATACATATATACATACATACATACATGCATATACATATATATATACATACATACATGCGTATACATACACACATGCATACATGCATGCATATACATACACATACATGCACGCAAACACACACACGCACGAACACATACACATATGCAGGCACGCATGCACACACGCACATACATCTACACGCGTATATACACATACACACATAGATAGCTTAGTGCGAAGAAATAACGTGGTGTTATCAATCTGAATGCTGACGTATTGTTAGAACATACCACCGCCGATTTGAAGCGACGTGTTCCCTACCCAACACCCTGTAGTGCCTTGATTTTCTCTACTATGGAACGCCAAACAGCACGCGCCTCCGTATGTTCCTCCGACGCTCTTAGCAACAGCCTTCCCACCTCCATTCATTCATTCATTCGTACATCTATCAAAACTCGCTTCTGAAAGAACCTTTTACGGGGATCTGCAGTTTCACACCAGAGTTTCAAGCCACCGCTTACTATCGGCTGGGTGTCGTCGACGGTATTATGGATTGATAAGTATTCTTAACATCAGCAGCTTTTGAAGTATTCTGCTACATTTGAGGATTTACCGTCGTACTCAGTAAAAGTAAGATCGGTTGCAGCACTTACCCAGACTGAAAGACGTGTCAATGGTAAAGATACGAGACGTCCGAATTGAACTTATGAACTAGTCCTCGCCAGATCCAAATTGTAAATTTTTTATTGTTTTGTATCTTTATGTCGGTAGGTTGCCCTATTTTTTTTTGCTAAATACCTAATTTTGTTTTTATATCAATGGCAGCATAAGTTGTTTCAGTAGTCAACAGCACGTTATACAGGGAGTAGCTACTATTAAGAATATAGCTCCAAGCTGAACTAATGGTTTGATCGTAAATTGTCTTCGATACGAAGGACTGTATACAAATGTCAAGCATTAAATTATAAATACTATGTCTTTACATTACTCTGTGCTTATTCACATTCATAAGCTGGTTCCTTTCTTACAAGTACAGATGTCCTACAAAGGACAAAAGAGGCCGCGTCTCGAAAAAAGCTATCGTAAGTTTTTTGTTTTGGCAGCAAAAGTTAAGCATTCGAGCAGTTGTAAGTAGTATTCGTATACGCGGTTTCGATACGTCTAAAACGAATGGTGTGAAATAGAGGCGTATGGCGGAATAATTTAGAAAATCCTCATTTTTCATGAGCAGTAGTAACTAGGAAAGCTATGGCCACTACAATAAAATACTAATGGCTAATCTTTGCAATAGGAATTTTACCGCTTTGCATTCAATAACCCCAAGGCCTATATACAAGTTTGTCTAATAGGTCGCAGGCGAAGACGAAATAACAACAAATCCGGACAAGTATGATTAGTCAACAAACACCGTAGGTTAAATAAAGGGCTTTACGTATGACGCTGTCAGATGGAATTTACACGAAGGAAATGTAACTGCAACTTGGTGTTTATTTGATAGAGTTGCGGCAAATGCACGCAACAGCTCCGACGGCGTACGTTATCCGATGAATTCCTAAATGCATTAATGGAAGTAGGACAGCAGGTAACGTAACAGAAATTATGCTGACAGTGCGGCGAGACGCGCCAATCACACGGAGCAGGTGACGCCACTTTTTCATGAAACGATCCTTTCGGACTCGCGTTGTTTTACTTTTTTTCAACCATAGGAAACACTGGTAGTAAGAGATCAACGAAAACTCGTTAATTAATACATTATTAATATTGATATCTACATTAAGTTCTCTTCTGGTGTAAACTTTGATGGTTCCACACGGCGATTGGTCGCGACGATCGCGATTTACGGAAAAGTCAATGGCTTATCTTATTGTATGTTACAAGATATTCTCTGGTAAATTTGCAGCCCCGTATTTCATCATACAAAGCCGTACTAAGGACGAGAGATCGCACTCCTGAAAATTGTCAAATGTTTTCTTGTTTTTAAAATTTGTGTAAATTACAATTATGGCATGCATAGCCGGATATTAGCAGCAGTTACAGGATTGATCAGGAGTCAGGTGATTTCGGCCATCTCTTCTAAATGGAATCTGAACATTGTGGTCCGTGTTTCAAACGAACCGACGTCGACTGATGTAATCACTGCAACTTCCATAATTCCAAAGAAATTAAGCGGTAACTCTAAGCTAGCTTCGAGGTGATATTTGGCCCTTTATTCAATAGTTTGTATTACTAGTGATACACAAGAAATTAAGCGAAAGAACCTGTGAATAAGTTACATTCACATTGTATCTGATACCCCAAAGAGTTTCTTCAGGCTATCTAAAAGCAGCTATAGAGATGGCCAACTTCTGCGTGAGCAGAATTCTTTCTTGGGAGTTGATTCCTGTCTTCCTGTAACCCGTTATGGAATAAAACCATATTTCTGGCCTCGTCCAACGCAGCTAAAAAAGAAAAACAACTAAGTGATTGTCACAAAAATAGACCCTTGCTAAAATTACGCACCAACTAATTTTGATTATTGCGCAAAGTGCCAGCCGTCAATCTCACACATGCTAATTGATCAGGTTCTACCCACGCTCCTATCCTTCCGTCATTCATGCAAATCTCCCTGCATTCAGCCACTCCTGCGATCTAGGGGACCGATTTTATACAGGCGGCTCTGGTCACCCGCGAGAGCCTAGCCTTAGACAGCCACTTAGTTAAAGTAAATTTATCCACTGAGTCGAGTCCTCGTCAGAACGGAGCATCGACCATATAAGCGGAAACTTGTACCTAATTTTAGGCTGTTGCACATCAAGCAGTTGTCCATGGATCGATCGACCTGAAAGAACTACAGCAAGCCGAATTGCTCCGCAGCTTTAACTTACGTTTGCGTGATCAATCAACGTAGCAGCACCGATGGACAAGAAGTCGCCGCTAAGGGTGCACGAGCGTACATCCAGCTTGTTGGAAGCTTCCTTTTTAATTTTCGGCGATGCACTCAAACAAAAAACGACATACGAAATGCCGTTGGAACAGTTGAATATAATACGTATCCACTTATTGACTTATCATAATATAGCCCGACAATTCACAATCAAAATACCTGTGTATGTCTTGTGGCTGGATAAGTTAGGAGTCTATAGAACAATATGCATCGTCGGTAAGTGCTCTAAGCAGGAGACAGCCTATCAGGCAGGCTCCGAATTGAAACTGTAACAGGACGTCGGGTCAGAGTGATTCTTCTTTACTACTCGCATGAATCGAACGTTTATACGCAGATGACAGATTTTTGGTAACGGATGAAAGACATCCTTTAATGACATTCAAGTCAGCTGGAGTTCTACATTATTTCTAATCTAGATGGTATATATATATATAAAAAACAATTTTATCGAAGAAGTGTTTTTCAGCATGAAGAAGCCACTGCTATATTAAGTTCCCTGCTTCCTTAAATGAACATATAATAAATATAGTTATATCGTAACTGTCTATGTACATTGATGAAGCTTGAATGAATAGGCTAATGAAATACCATGATCAGCTGCTCCTCTGATCCTCTGTCTGAGAAAATTGTTTGCTGTTAATTAGATTCTGAAACGTTGATGATGAACCCTGCTAAGTACTTTTAACTTTAATATTTTAAAAATAAAATATTTTAACACTGAAAACATTCAAAGGTGACATTACAATGGACCGCCTTTTAGAAACGGACGACACCGGCCTATGTCGGGTAATCTTATTCTTTTTACTATTGTAATAATACATTACGAATGCGTGTATAGCCATCGAATTAAATGACGCTCTTCTTTAAACAACCGAAGCTCTAAAACGAATAATTACTACGGTGCAAGTACGTAACGAATGAATAAATGACATTATTCTTAGGAACGGGACTTTGAGGATAGGGTATTCGTCCTTTTCTAATGCTGGAAGTTCCGAGCCCTCACAACGAGGTCGATTACTGAGGTGCGAAGATCCTTCACAGCAAATCTTTTCAGAGGAAT